GTTTACTGAAAATAGCTCTAACAAAAGCAAATTAGGAGAATTCCAAAATTAATTTATTTTGCTGTCTGAGCATACAGTACCTCCTTATATAAAGCACTAATTCCAAAGATGAAATACTCAGTGTCTTTTGTCTTAATTCTGTATTTTTTTTCTTTCTGCCTAATTTCTCCTCCATCATTTTTCTCTTGCAAGAGTAAGTAGATGCTATTTCAATACAATGCAAATAAGTTAATGCTTGAAATTTGTTAAAGGCTTTAATATTTAAGTACATTATGTCCTCTTTTAATGAGACTAAACTCTGCAACAGGTGACTTTCGTTAAGAGCATTTGCATGTCAGTGTCCTGGTTGTCTGATGGGCACATAGGAGAGAGACTGCTATGGGATAATGAATAGAGGATTTCTTCCCATCTTTCATAGGAGGGCTTATCATAAATTAACATAATTGTGGGATTTTTGAGGTATTAGAGAATAATTGATACAAATTCTTGTTTCTATATCTTTGCATTCATGTAAGAAAGCCACAATGTAAAATAATGTGTGACTTTTGTCCAGGCCGATGAAACACTTCACTTCTGTGCATCTTCTCTCTCCTCCTCTCCCACCTCATTTCTGCTGCATGAAATACCACAAACCACTAGAGCCTGGGAATCCTGCCTCTCCTGTCTGCAGCTGTAGCCACAGGGCTTTCCTTACTCTGCCTTTCTGCCAGCAGTGCCCGTGTTCCCCTCAGGCAGACCCACAGCATGGGGTAAAAGAGAGTGGTTCTTATCCAGGAGACTGAGGATGGGAGACCTGAGCTGTGGTGTTCAGTCTTTTCCTGCCTTCCTGTGTGATCCTGAACCAGACAACCATAAACATTGGTTCCATTCTTCAGCTTCTGTTCTCATATTGCAGGACATAGGTACGGGTGTGTTCGAAAAATACCATAGTCTTTGTAAAATTGAGGGTTTTGTAAGGTAAATTTTGAGGTTTGACTTCATCCACTCTGAACATCTCCCAGGCAGAGCTTCTAATTCCTATGCTAGTTTTGTATCCTGCTCCTCTGTACGAACATCTTACATTTTTACTCAGGAATAATGAGAAATACTCTAAATGCATCACAAAGGTTAGTGGAATTGCTGGAGAAGTCAGTCCTCTTTGAAAGACTGAATATCTTACTAGCCATGCTCTCTGCTTGCCAGATTATATAATTTCTGTTTCTCACCACCTATAATTTTGTAAACTTTTTTTTATGATTGTGTGATAATATCTGCTTAAGCATCCTAAAGTTTCCATGTGTATTCAACACTACTTTTTGCAGTTGGTGCCCCGGAGGGAATGAGGAAGGAATTTTGATTGCTCTCTGGTTACTTGTCAACTCGCCTTCAGTTAAGAGCTGTTCTGGGTTTAGTGATGCAGAGTATTCTCACCTGGCCAGTAGTCCAGGAGGATTTTTACACTTGTTGCACTGAGTGTTCTTACCATGCTAAGAAGGCTAATTGTTAAGCCAGTTTCCTCTAGAGGAGGCATTTGTGGGACTGATTTTAGATCGTGTCAGTTTCTCAGCGAGATGCTAGTATTATTTACTTTTTTCTCCCTGCCCTTTTTATTTCTCTCTTCATTCTGATCAAGTGTATGCAGAAACATAGCTGAAGGGGTCCTTCTATCTCAGAATTTCTTCATTACTTTGTGTGTGCCTCTCTTAGAAAATAATTAAGTATCCTTTTAGAAGCAGATATGCATCATTTTAGGAGTGGTCATTGTCATTTCATACATTTGTTGAGTTCTCCTGATGTAATTTAGTTCTTGCCCCTTTTTTTTGTATCTCTCCCTCTGAAAGGTTGTTTGCTGGTGATTATTTCTTACTTTCAATGCTTTCATTCTGTGCCAAAAGACTTCAAAGCCTTTTCTTATTTTGCTTTTTAGTTATGGATGGAAAGTGTCCTATATCAACTTTATTTGATAAAAGGAATGAACCATTTCTATAAACTCTCTACTCAGCAATCTCTAACTGTCCTTCAAGGTTTTTTCTATACTTTTTCCAGTTGGATTTGAATGTACACAATGCAGACCTGTGTTCAGTATTTCAGATGAAGAAAAATTGCTGTGCTGCTTATTTTTTAATTTTTAAATTTTTTTTGTAAATTTTATGTGTGTGTGTGTAATGTATTTAATCTAGAGAACTTAACTAAATGAATATATATTCCATCCTATAAAAGGCCAGTTAATTGGGGGCTGAGGAGGAGTTAATGTCAGAATTAATAGCAGAATATAATAGTATCGTCACTTTGTGAAAATTATATTTATTATATAATTACTATAGAATGGATTGGAAAATATGTAAATTGTGGTATAACAAATGCTTTAAATGTTGGGCTTTAATAAAACTTTATTCTTATAATCAACTGTGAGGCCTCTAGTGACCTTTTATTTTGTACCAGTATGCATTGTAGCAGTTTGTGCTGAATAGTTTTAACACAGTCATTCTATTTACCAACAAAAACCTACCAACAATTTCTAGTTTTGTAAGCTCCTACACCCTTACTGCTCAATCAGTCATGGTGGAAAGTGGAAAAGGCCACTATTACATTTGCCTAAAGCCTGCTAGGAGAAAAAGGTGCAGACAGCAGGAGTGAGGATGTGATGGAGAGAAAAGGACACTGACAGGGCACAGAAAGGTTACTAAGAGAATATTTCGGAAGGAGCTGAAGAAAATGAGTGATTTGTGGTTCTCAATTTTGATACTTAAGCTTTGAGGTGGAGAAAGAGGTGTTCTGTGACTGGTCTAAGAGAGGCTAAAAATCTTCAGAGATGGAGGATTTTACCTGCATTTGTTTGCTTTCTAAATAAGGGGGAAAAAAAACAACCCCAATTTTGTAAATTTGGAGAATGAGAGATTTTTGCCACTGATAAACCATTCAGTGTGTTGAAAATGGAAAAAAAAATTTGTGTCAAGAGACATGCACATTATAAAATGTTGAAATTGCATTAAGGTTGCAGAAATAAACTCATACTTGATTTAAGCAAGGACAAATTCTTAAGTTCTTCTCATTTCCATATGGGTATGCTCTGAGGGTGTAGGGTGCAACATGATACCATTGCCTGTAAGGGTCTGAATTTCCAGCTGGGCACTGATATGAGTTGGTATGAAGGAAGTGGCGACCCAACCAGTGCTGTTTGTGTTGCTTACCAAACAAGCAGAGCCACTACCCCATCTTCAAGGGACACAAAGTGGGAGTGAATTCCCTGCATGCTCACAAGCGTGAGTATACAGCATTGGCAGAGCCCGACATAAATTCATGAGGACAGCTCTCTTGTTTTTGTTGCAAGCTCTGGATCATCCACTGACAATGAAGTAATGCTGAGGAACTGATCATGAAGGAAGTCTGTTTACAATGGATGATGAATGAGGTGAATTTGAAGTACTCTGGTAGCTTCCTCGCTCTCCTCACCCACGTAGTATCACTGTGTCAGGAAGTGTATCTGTTGGGAAGGTGATTTACAGCTATGGTCACAGCTTCAAAAACCTGACTTCTAAATGGTAACTGGTTCAGTGATTACCACTTTCATAATTAATACCTCCCTTTAATTGTTTTAAGATAGCCATGGCTCTCTGCCAGAAGTGTCTGTCCCTGAGGGCATGTAAAACTTTTTCAGCATTCATCATCTCAACAGTTCTCTGCCATGAATGGAACTGTCTTTTCCATAGACTTCTTGATGTGATTAGTCTGAATGAGGAAGCTAAAATCCTCTTAGAGAGGGACACCACAGCAATTTATTTCGCCTTTCCTTATTTCCAGGGATAATGGTCTTTTAATGTGTAAGGTACTTCTATCCACAGTGGTTCTTTTTATGGGTTTCTTTTCTGTGTTGTTGTGTTGGGTTTCAGAGTTCCACTTAGTCATGTGCATTTTGAAGCACTCAGCTCTGCATTAGCGCTGTGACTTGTCACGGTGCCCTAGAGTGAAAACATTTGAAGAATATGAAACATCTATTTGGTGTCTGTAAGGGTGTAATAGTTTCCTTCATGGGTACACAAGGGACAATTCCATCCTAGTGCAGCATGCCCAGCTGTCAGGATGCAGGTTATAAATGAAAGATCAGGAAAAAGTCACATACATTTAAATTGAACAGGAAGTAAGCAGCTATACCTACCTGTACATCTTTTCAGCAATAGTTTGCTTGAGGTCTAACTATAGCCTGGAGTGACTATAGCATCATAATTTCCTATGGAGAATCCCAACCCCTGAGTTACATTTATTCCAGAGCAGTTGGTTTGTATTTCCAGATTCTGTGTGGTCCTGATTTTGGAAAGGCCTGACATGCCCATACCTTTGTTGAATCAAGATTTATTTATCTTAATAAAGTTAAGTATTCTTAAGAGTGAGTCCAAGTTTGTGGAAACAGAGCATAAAAAGCCGGTGTTGTGCAGCACTTCCTTTTTGTGTTTCCCTGCCAGCTCCTTGCTGTATCCTCTCATACTTGTTGCTACACATCCACCACACAATTTCACTTGTTCCCTGTTGGCAGAGTGCTTTGAATTGGTATGTGTATCTGGGACATTTCTTTTTTCCCCTACATTTTTTAGGTTTTCTGTAAAATTATGCTCTTGTTGCAGATGGAACGTGCTGTTGTCTTCCTCCTTGGAGTTTGTAGCCTTGAAATGATTGTAAAGTGCTATCTCAGTTGCTCTGTTTAATGACAGTCTGGGATAGGCATATTGGCTTACCAATTTTGTCCTCCATTTTTCAGGAGGGAGTGTGTTTTCTAACAACTATATCTACTAGTTTCCTTGTTCTTTTATCCTGTGACACATTGCACTGGCTCCCTTCTGCTGATTTGTTGTGCTAAGACTCAGGTGGGCAATAGATAGCTAGAGGAAAGTCATTCACCATCTCTTATTTTAGGACCATTGTATTGTAGACAACCCACAGATGTTGTATAGCCTGTTCTCTGTGTCTTTCAAGGCAGAAAAAATGACACCGTGTCTTTTTTTGTTTTGGTTTGGTTTTGTGTACAGAATGTACCTGGGAGGAGTTTTGGGATTGATTATGAATCCAACAGCTTTGTCAAGGATGGGAAACCTTTCCGTTACATCTCCGGTAGCATTCACTACTCGCGGGTGCCCTCGTATTACTGGAAGGACCGCCTGCTGAAGATGAAGATGGCAGGGCTTGATGCCATTCAAACGTGAGTAGCTGTTGTTTTCTGATGGATTTGTGGTCCTGGGAGCTGTATGAGAACTCATTAAGAGCCTGCCATTGTTACTTGTTTGTTATTTTTCCAGTAATAGGTGAGGGAGCTCTGGAGAAGTAAGGGTGGTACAGGATGACTTTTGACCACATAAATGGGGGCAGCTGGGCAGGTTGTAACCAGCAATCTGTTCCCCTGATGATAGGCAACTCCTCTGGCTTCACAACCCAGGGTGCAAACGTGACCTGAAATAAATTGTTGGACTATGAACTTTAGCAACTATGGAACAATTATACATGCTCTCCCTCTGCCAGGGACACTGTACTCTCTGGTCAAAAGGCAGACTAGGTGTGAGGAAACAATAATCTGTTAGTACAGCCTGGGTTGGTATCACTCAGAAGCCTTGAAAATATTGGTGAATACTGCAGTAACATTTAAAAGCTGTTTTACCAGAAGCATTTAAATTTAGATAAATGGATGGGGAGCTAGGTGTACTTATTTAAAAAGAAAAAGCTTAAACAGCTTTCATTTGTGTGTGTGTGTGTGCAAAACCCCTAGTCCTTGTCTTTTCTACCTGGTCGTGTACTTAATTCAACAGATGAGGCACAAATTTAAAAAAAAAATCAGCTTTCTCTTATTTTTGCCATGGCTTCATTGACAAGGGAAGTGGTACTGTATAAGGCACAGTCTTTTCAGGCAATTATTGTAATTCCCAAACAGGTTTGTTTTCTTTTCTTAAATCATTGCAAGGCTTAGAGCTTCTCTTTGAAACCACTGCTTTTGTGCTGTAAAAAGTTCAGCTTCTGACAGTGCAGAGCTTGTAGGCTCTGTAGGAATGGTTTCTCACCCTTGAAATCTGTATTGTTGTTAGACCTGCAAGTTACATGGTTCCTTTGTTCCCTTGGGGATGAGACTAGTCAGAGTTAGTAGCTGAAGAACAGACAGTAGGGAGAGAAAAAAAAGTTGAATTTTTCCAAATTTAGGGTTCTCTATTTTTTTGCATATCTTAAGACTCTTGCCTGTGTTGGGATGATGCAGTCACTCTGCTGAGTGGTTTTGTGGTTGTTTTTGGTTTTTTCTATTAAGGAATCAAGTTCTGTCTTTGCTCACATTAATAAGAGCAATGGGATTAAGTAACACACTTGCTCAGGACCAGGTTGCTGGATTTGCCCAAGTAATTACTTTTTGCTGAAATAAAAGTAATTTTATTTCAAGTGTCTGGCTTGAAGGTCAGCCTGTGGCTGACCCTATGATCAGTGACTCCTGTGATCCATAGTGTCTCATACTTCCCTTATGTCTCTCATTAATTTTCCTCCTCCTCCCAACACCCATGTGTTTTCAATGCCCTTTGTTCATTCCAGCTTTTTCAAATTCTTTTTAATTTTTTTTAAATTGCCTTTTCATGTCTCTGATGCATCACTGGAATTGAGATAGATATATTTTTTTTTCCGTTCCCTTTGTCACTGTTGTTCAATGGCAAAATTGCTGCAGGGCCAGTTTGGGTTTTTTCTTGTTGCTTTCTCCCTCTTCATTTGTGATCTCCCACTAACAAGGTGGGTTTTTCCTTCTTTCTTTTCTGCTTTTTTCCCTTGTTGAGACTTCTTACTGTGCTTTACTGTTTTGCATTAGTATCTTTCTGCTGTGCAGGAAGCAGTGAAGATTTGTTGTTTTGCTGGTGCCAGCTGATCTGTGTTGGTCTTGGGAGAGCTGAGCTGTGTCCTGTTTTGGCACAAAAGGTGCTATGCAGCTGGCAAGTGGTTATGGCAACTGTGGCTTTAGGTGTTGGTGCTGGATCACATCATAACAGCTTTATTAGTCTCCTCTTGTTTTTCTAAGAGCAGATTGAGGTTCTTTGACTTTCTCTCCAATTATTGCTCACATCTGGATTTTTTCTGCTATGGTGAAAGATAAATCTGAAAGTGTACTTTAGAAGCAGAAAGTGCTCCTGTGCCTTGCATTTTCTACAAGAGTCAAATCCATGTGTCTTTCCGTTTGACACTAATCACTCTCTCTCCTGAGGCTAAAAAAGCACCTCACATACAAAAACCCCTTTTGTTTTTCTTTGAGGTTTGTCTATAATCAAGTCTTTCTGCTACTGATTATTTGAGATAAAGCTATGAGTATTCATATAAGAAATCTTCTGTGATTTTGTGTGATTTTGATAAAAAAAATGGAAATTGGTTTGTGTGATTAGGTTTTTGTTTTCTCTTCTTCTGCATACTCTCTCCTGGATCAGTAATACTGCTAGTAAGGGACAGAGATAGAAATTTTGTGAAGTCATTGTGGAATGAATGGGCAGCAGCACTGCCAAACTCTCTGGCAGAATGTGGTGGTTGGATTCTCAATCTTGAGGCCTCATCTGAAGACTGTGATTTTGTTGCTTGGGATTTTTTTCCATAAGACAGGGAATGGTCCTGCTATAATTTGAAATATGGGAACCTTCCTTGTTCTTATCAAGGCGTTCCCAGTGAGGTTTACCACTTCAAGGGAAACAGGATCCTTATATTATGGGATTGTGCTTGTAAATATCTTGTGGATAAAGCCAAACCAGACATGTTCTCCTTCCTGTTCTCTGCAGCCTTTTTTCCAAAAGGCTGTCTGTGCCTTGATGCATCATTCAGCTCATGACTGAGGCAGCAGTTCCTCCTGGTCTCTGGAATAGGTGAAGTCAGCACATGAATATAATTGTCTGCACCTGGTAACACCTTAAGCAATAACAGAACATGAGTAAACAGATGACAGTAAGCTTGATCTTATATTAAAGCCTAAGAGATCAAGGCTTACCCCTTCTAAAGAGCAGGTTGAAATTTAATGTTGTGGTTGGTGTGATGTCCCAGAAGGTGGTGGAGGAGGATGCTGAGGAGCTCACTCCCCACCTCAACAGAGGTGTCTGGTCACACAGGTCCTTGTTTTCAGTTTCTGACCCTTGTCTGCCTGCTGGAAATGAGTGCTGGCTGAAGAAGGCATCTGGAAAGCACAGGAGGTCTGGGGCTTGTTTTGTGCAGAGCAGATAAACAATTGCCACTAGATGGGGCAGAAGATGTATACAGGATTTACTGATCAGCGGAGATGCTTCCTGGAAGAATCCACAGTTACCTTTACAGGCTCATAGAAAGTTAAAGAATGTTGAGCATTTTCTTTGTTTTACTCTGTTTGTTGACTAATGAACAGAAGGGTGTAAACCTGTACAAAGTCCTTCTAAGAAGGAGCTGCTGTTTAGAATATGGAATATTTAAAATTTAAACACAAATTACTGTTTTTAAAGACTCATATATGAGTAATTTAACTAGCATGCTCATTGATGAAAGTAGTACAATTTATTCAATTTTACACTATTAAAATAATCCCACCCTGGTATTACAGAGAGAATTATCTGTACATTAAAGAAGTTGAAGTGTGATTTTTTGCCTGTTGATAATATCTGAAATAGGAGAGGGAAGCTGTAACTTCTAAAGAAAGGAAGGTTACAGCATGAAGCTTAGAAATTGTGTGTAAATGGAAAGTAAACTCAAATACAGAATAAATACCATATATCAAGTTCGAAAAAGGATGAGATTTTCCATTATAAGTTCATTATTCTGTAGCTGAAGTGGTACAGGATTAACAACTGACTGTAAATTTTGACAATGGTGTGTAACAAATATATTCATTAAAGATAACAATTTCAATTATTTCATTTGAGACCATCACTAGCTGTAGAAAATGTATTGCTGGATTAAAGTGTCTTAATAACCATTTTTAGACCAATGTTTAAAATAAATTTTTATCACGATTCATTATATAAAACAATGGTTTCAAATAGGTTTTTTTCTTGTGCTTCTTCCCTTTTTCTCTGCTAGAATCTGCTTTTTTTCCAGTCTTGTGGTCAAGCATGTGACATAAATTAAAACTGTTTCTGGAAGGATTTTTCTATTTGCTTCCATCTTGAGCACAAGGGAGCTGGAGAAACCCAGCTCCTTCGTCCTCACCTCAGACAGTATTAAGTGCATTTAAACCTTAAGACTTCTTTCTGAACAAGTTGATAATTCAATGAGTGTATTTCCACATGGTTCATATATTCATTAAATGCACATGCATTTTTTTTTACAAGTGAGTTAATTGTGCTGTGCATTTAAACCTTAAGACTTCTTTCTGAACAAGTTCATAATTCGATGAGTCTATTTTCACATGGTTCATATATTCATTAAGTGAACATGTAGGTTTTTTACGAGTCAGTTAATTGTGCTTCAGAATCAATTAGAGCAGCTTGACACAGAAATAAAATATACCACATAGAAGAAAAATCTGCATTTTGATGCCTGAGTGCATTGCTTTGATTCCATCCTGGCACTCAAATTTGAAGCTTTATCTTTTCAAACAGAGGCTTAAAATTTTGGCATTTGAGATGCTATAATATTCACGAAGGTTAAAAGATTATAATTTTTGTATTTGATGTTCATGTACATGTCTGTCTCTATATGGCCATTTTAGTACATGAGAGGGTTCCTGTTTTTCTTCCTTATTGAAAGCATTGTTTTAGGGACTTTCTTTCCCTCTTGTGTGGTTTTTGCAAAATTAAATGTGGAACATACTAACAAACCCAGGCAGTAAGGAAAGTGTTGCCTTAGAGGATCTTTGCTTGACTAGACACAGTTTTGGGAATTTTAGAAATGTTAGGGGAATGAGTTTTCACATTCCCTTGAATCCTTGCTCGGGTTGTACTCATCCCTAATTTTAGTCTGTGCTAGACTGCCACTTAGTACCATGGCAAACACAACATGGTTCTCAAACAGGGATTATCAGCTACAACACTGCTCATGGTATTTGGTAGATTACTATTTCTTTGTTGTCTTGAAACCAAGTGAGTTTTTTTTTATTTCTGTGAGATGTTCTGTGCTGAGGCTGTGGTCTCCTGAGCCCTAGAGGTAGGAGAGAGGTGTTCTTTCAAATGGTGATGTGCTTGTTTGACATCTTCGTTACTTAGTTGAAATTAAGCTTTGCTTTGTCCAAGTTCTTGGGCACCTTAACATTTCTTAACCTAATTGTTCTTCCAGTGGTGGTTTTCAAGGACTTGCATTGTTCCTGATCAATGAAAACTTTTGGGACCTAGATGCAATATGACTTGAGGCTTAAGTGTTTTTCAAATTCTTTGCAGTGGCAGCAGCTTAGACCTGAGAGCCTGGTTGGTGTTCCCTGTGCAAGCTGGGTGATCCATTCATGAAGGGTCATGTGCTGTTTTGTGCTTGTTCTTGGCCTCCTCCTTCATGAGTGGTTTACCACATTCATCTCCTCATCAACCTCCCACCACTGTACAGCTGCCAGCTACCTTGCCAGCTTCAAAACTGTTTATTTAATTTTGGAACAGATATGGTTTCACAACGGCACTACCAGAACCTGTTCTTGCTCTGATAGGGACTCCTGCAGACATAACCCTAATTTCAGTGTCAATTTTAAAGCCTTCTGGTGTATGAAATACCTGGCAGAAGAAAGGCCAGAGAGTTACTCCTGTCTTCTACTGATCCAAAGGATCAGCAGCATTACTGGTCTCTGGGGCATGTACTGCAAGTAGCTGTTTTCCAGAATTCAGGTTTAGTCTCAGTTTCCTAATGGAAGGTGATTTTCTCTCTTAATAGGTATGTCCCATGGAACTACCACGAACCCCGGATGGGCACATATGACTTTTTTGGTGGCAAAGATCTAGAGTATTTCCTGCAGCTTGCCAATGACACTGGATTGCTTGTTATCCTGAGAGCTGGACCTTACATCTGTGCAGAATGGGACATGGTATACAACCTTTTGTAACAGCTCACTTCTAGGGTAAATCTAGTGCAAGTATTTCTTAAAGTAAACAGACTTACTCATTGATGTATCCTTAGACAAGAGTCTTGGTGTAGTGTGTTAAAATCCATGCATCCTAAGTGACTTCTTACAATACAAACTTACTCTGTTTTTGGTTTTTTTTTCATTAGGAATTACTGCTTTCTTGTAGAAAATCAATTTTCCTGTCTCCGTATATGTCTTAATAAAAGGCTAAATTATTCTTAGGATTCCTAAATATGTCACTGTTTCCCTTTCTTTTCCCAGGGAGGTCTTCCTGCATGGCTGTTGGAAAAGAAATCTATTGTTCTCAGGTCTTCTGATTCAGGTAGAGGCATCAGAAAAGGCCATTAAAAATACACTGTAACAGCAAGGCAACTTTCTGTTTGAGGCCATTACTAGATAATTCATATTTCAGCTCAAGTTTTCTTGTGAGTAAAATCTTCAATACTTTTAATTAGAAGCATACATTCAAAAAGTAGAACAATTAAAGTAGGGAAGAAAGTTTCCAAGGTATTGTCAAGTTGGTGCCATGAGGGGAACCATTGAGGAAAAGAGTGCTTCAGCTTTGAGGTTTTTGGATTTGCTACAGCCACTCATAATGGGGATCCTTCTTGGCTGGTCAGCATGCAATCCAGAACAAGTTACAACATTCTCATGTGCTCCTGTTTAAGAACCAGACATGGGAGAATAAGATGAGACAGAAGATTAATGTGTTTGTTGGAGTGAATGTAGGGGGTGAATATATAGATATCATATCCAACTTCAGTTCTGCTGTGGTTAAATTATCGATTTAAAAATAGTATATAGATCAACAGTTGAATTTGTCTTCCTGTTGAAATGCATTACGACAACCTGTGAGACATAATGAAATTCTTTTGATAATTTTCCAAGTTCATCAGTATTTAAATGTTTTATTTTTTAGTAAACTGTATTTGAAGCATTTATGACCAAGTAGAAGAGCACATTTGCTCAAGTATAAGAGCAAACTGTTCATTAAATGCTGTTCATAAATTACATAATTAAAATACTACATAAAGATGACCCATATGTAATTTAAAACAAAATTAGAAAAAGGCAGAAAAGTTGTGAAACATGTATTCTTTGTGTATCACAGATTACCTAGAAGCAGTAGAGAGATGGATGGGTGTCCTTTTGCCAAAGATGAGGCCTTATCTCTATCAAAATGGAGGTCCAATCATCATGGTGCAGGTAACTTCCTGAAAACCAGATGAACCCAAGCAGCAAGAGTGCTTATACTGCTCTTGCAGACACACCATGGGTCTTGGGTGGTGGTATCACAGGTGTTTCTTAACTTTCAGGTAGCTGCAAGATTCTGATGAAATACCTTATCCTAAAGAACTGAATCCACCGTTTCTAGGACTCAGAGAGCCCTCATCTGCTCTGTCAAAGTTGTTTCCCACAGCTGTATAAGGCAATAGAGGGAACTTTTGTAGCTTTTTAGATCTGAGGTTTGTGGCAATTCTCACATAAAGCCAAAATGCATACAGTTGCCTGAAACAATCTGACAAGAAAAAGGGGAATAAGAATACCCTTAGATAGAAGCAAAAGCAGTATGGAGTAAGCCTAATTTAGCACCTAACTTGTATGTTCATGGTGAGTGAACATACAAGTTAGGTGCTAAATTAGGCTTACTTCTGCCCTAAACTCCTTCTAGATAGATGTGTGGGAGTGATTGTCCTATATTTATAGTATTTGATCTTAATAAAGCTTTATTTCAATTTCTTTAAACTCCTTGACTGGCACAGGTTGGGATAAGAGACCCTTCTTGTAATATGCCCAAGATAATTTTGTTGAACGGTGTGTTTTGTCTGTTGAGCAGAAGCACTGGGCAAAATGATTCTTTGGCAGAAGTAAGATGCTTATAACAGGATTTTCAGAAATAACCTTCAGGATTGGAACCTATTGGATGTGGAGCTGAAAAGTGCATCACCTTGGAAAAGGGACAAGATGTGTGACTCGCAGTAGTAGCACAGTTGTTCTCCCTTCAATCCTTTTGAGTCCATTTCAGGGCTTTGTGGTTCATGTGAGCCCTTTGTAGATGTCTCTGTTCTGAATGTCCAGTTTTGTTGTAGTTTTGATCATTTCACAGCCTGTTCTGTGGTTTTATTGGTCTGCTTGGGAGGTGGGTTATAGATCTCAGATTTTAATAGAGACTCTATTATGATCACTGTAGCTAAACAGATACTTTGGGAGGGGATAGAATTTTGCAGGAAAATGGCTTAGCTCTGCACAGTGGTGTCCACTGTAAAGTACTGTTGAGAGGAATGAGTCTTGTCTTCTCATACTCCTCACATCTGGAGTTAAAATGACATTTTCAATATTGCTATCAAAGGAAGAAGAGGGTTGAATTTGCTTTCTGTTTTGTTATCAGATGCAGACTGAATTGGCTATGGCTTTACTGACTTGCTTTTTGCTCTGCAGGTAGAGAATGAGTACGGAAGCTACTTCGCTTGTGACTACGACTACCTGCGCTTCCTCCTGAAGCTCTTTCGCCTGCATCTTGGGCATGAGGTGGTGCTCTTCACAACTGATGGTGCCAGCCAGTTTCACTTGAAATGTGGGGCTCTCCAGGGTCTCTATGCAACGGTGGACTTTGCTCCAGGTTGGAGACTGCTGTTTGGTTCCAAAAATTCTGAGCTCTGTGTGTTTGTTGTTAGACAACCTTACTTGACTGCTTGCCAAACTTGCCTGCTTTGTTTAAATGGGTTAACAGGCATTTATGTATATTTAACATACTCTTAAACATTCAAGAATCACCCATGACCGCTCAGTTAGAATGTCATAATCACTTCCTTGCATCTTGGAATCATGAATAGCCAGTTTTGCTGCTCATAGCACTTATCTCCTAAAAATTAGCAATAATAGTTGACATTGATTCCTTGATTATTTTAATATTCCTTTTTGGTGTTGAGGTTTTTTAATGTCCTCTGTCTGTCCTGGAATCCAGCCATCCAAATACATTTCTTTTTACGCAAGAGGTTATTAGGAAAAAAATGCTGTTGAAGATCATCATTAGAAATGTGCACACTGCTACAATTTGTTGTGTTATAGGTCTGAAAAATGGCTAAGCATTATTAGTGTGATCAGAGAGTACCCTTTTGATAGACGAGTTAAGGATTTAAATGTTTGTATACTGCATGGACTTGACAAAATAGGCTTAAGGCACAAGAAACAAACTCCAAGACAGATATTTTTGGGTTTTTTATTGTGCATATTTTTAAATTTTTTATTTTTATTTTTTTATTGGCCTCTTCTGTACTTTATTCTCTCTACAACCAAACACACATGCTTAGCAGGGATCTGTTTTCTTGCAAGTTGAATGAAATTGTGGATGTCTTCATGTATATCCTTTTGTGGGATTCACATTCTCTGAACCTGAGACAAGCAGTGAGAGAAGCAGAGAAGAGAATGATCAAAACAATTCTTAATCTCATTTGCTGCTCCTGTGTTGTGCTCAGGTACAATGCAATATGGAGATTGTTTACCCAAAGTGATGGTGTTTTGTTTCCTTGGCCTATCAGGGCCAAGCACATGTCCAGGCTGCCGGTCAGCAGACAGTCATGAGATTTTGTTCAGTTGAGTGCTTGTTCAGTTTCAGTTTAGATGTAGTGTAATATAGTATAATATATAATAATTACTTTATTATACTATTATTCTAAGTATAGAATAATAGTATAATAAAGTAATTAATTAGCCTTCTGATATCATGGAGTCCTCCTCATCATTCCTCCCACCAGTCAGGCAAAATTACACCAATATCCTTTATGCAATGGTGAGCCACCATTCCACCAGAGAAGTTGTTTCCAGGCACTGTGACTTGAGCCGCTAGGAGTGATCAAGAGTGAAACACCTCAAGAGTGAAACACCTCTTTAGAGGTTGCCTGGTTTCTACTCTTCCCCATAGCCTTGGTAACGTCACCCCAGACTTAGACTTTCCAATGATCAATAGCAATTCTGACACATCTCAGACTTCTTTGTGCCAGGATGTCATTTCTGAGAAAAGCTGGGTTTTCAAAGGATATGTCTCAAAAGCAAAGACACTTACACAGGCATGCATATGTGCATGTATATATTTAAAATAAGTTTTGCAAGTTAAACATCAGAATTAAAAGTATTCATTCCTGTGTGTGCTGGAGCAGCTTTCTTGTCATTATTTTTTGCTAGGCTGGAAGGGAGATAAGACACCAATTTCAATAAAATGATGGACCCAGAAAATCATGGATATAGCAACTCAATTTTATTTCTTTCTGTTTATAGGTGGCAATGTCACAGCAGCATTCTTAGCTCAAAGGAGCAGTGAACCCATGGGCCCTTTGGTATGTGTTTTCACTTAAACTTTTTGTATCATGTCTAATCTTGAAGTTGTTAATCAGAGAGGGATTGACAGCACTGCTTGAACAATTTTAGGGACCTGTTCATGAAGCTATAATTTCCAAGTCAGAAAAGTGAATAGAGGAACTTCTCTGTGTGTTTGTAAAATCCACATTAACTGCTGCTCTCCAAATGCTATTTTAGTCTCAAAAAGTAATGATTTTGCTTCAGTAGTTTTCCTTGCTAAGACAAATGTTTACAAAGCGGCGGAAACACTAAGGATGGTTAGACAAGTTAGTGAGATATGTGTGTAGGTAGAAGTTAAAAGCAGAATTAAAAGGGCAGATTAGAAGTTGTTTCCTGTTTTCAGCTACCCTAGAGGTTTTATACAAGCTATAGTGGGATGTGAGAACACTGGAAGCCATTTTGAGAAAGGGAGAAGGCCCATTTGAGGGTGCAAAATAATCTCTGTGCTAAGGAGTTGTTTAGAAAGCAATTTGAAATATTTTTCATTACATCCAGTTTGTATATGCTGTTCTGCAGAGAATATGTTGATTCCATCATTTATTTGAATGCCAAGCATCTGAAACACATCCTTGTTGCCAGGTTCCCAAGAAATCTATACTCTTTGATGCTTAAGCAATTTTTTTCAAAATGTCCCTATAAAATTATTGGAACAATCCTTTAATTCCTTTGACCTGTAATCTGCTGAAAAGGACTGATCTAGTATGTACTTTGCTGTATTTATAGTAGTTTAAAAGTGGCTCATATTAGTCAAGGTGCCTTTTTTCCCTTCCCTCTTACAGTTAGGAGCCTTAGTTCACATTGCATTCGGTTCTTGTTCCCTCTTCATGTTTCCCCTTCCTCTTTTGCCCTTCCTCCTTTCAGGTTAATTCTGAATTTTATACTGGATGGTTGGATCACTGGGGGCACCGTCATTCTGTTGTGCCCGCAGAAACTGTAGCTAAAACACTTAATGAAATCCTGGCACGTGGTGCTAACGTTAACCTGTAAGTGTGTGTTCAGTAGAGCTTAATTTTGGGGGGATTTCTTTTCCCAGTTCAGCAAAACCTGATTTTTTTTCTTTTTAGGTACATGTTTATAGGGGGGACTAACTTTGCCTATTGGAATGGTAAGAAATTACTTAAATTATACTAATGGTGGAGGGGAGCTCCTTTTGAATTAGGTTGTAATGTATTTTGTGAAAGAACGTGCTGTGCCTACTTGCCCATGGCAAAAGACATGACTGCACTAGCTGTTCTTTGTTTATTGCCAACATGTTGTACCAAACCCACATGGTGTTTGTCTTTTCCAAGGCTACTTCTGCTTCACTCGGTGCTGTGAAACACAAATAAATGTGTTTCTCTTCGGAATATTTCACAGAGTGGTGTAAGCTCACAAGGACATTGTCCTCCTTCAATTTTTTATGCCAAATCCCAAACATCAAGGCCTACACTGAATCTAAAAATGTAGCAGAATCTGTCTGAAATCAGAAAGAATTCTGGCAGTTGATACCTTTGGGAAAAAATCCCTCTCTTCCACTGTTTTTACTGCTTTTTCTTTTTTCCTCCTCCCCTAGGTGCTAATATGCCTTATATGCCTCAGCCCACTAGTTATGACTATGATGCTCCCCTGAGCGAGGCGGGAGATCTGACAGAAAAGTATTTCACCATCAGAAAAGTCATTGGTATGGTGAGTGTCCCCAGGACATTTTTAGAATGGTTCTTTGAGACATCCTCCAAACTGTCTTGTTCTTGTGTTGGTGGAAGTTACTCCTCAATGTACTATTTTCTGCAGCTGGGAGAAGTGAAATGGAACCTGACAATTAGGCCAACTTAACTGCTTCTTGTTACAAAAAACAAAAGATCTTGCCCCTCTCTAGCTATTCATTCTGTCCCAGTGGCTTCCTCCTTCCTTTTAGAGGAGAGGATGCTGGTGTAGGTCTGACTCTGACATGGTTCAGCTCTTCTTTATTCCTACATTTGTTTTCTCTCAAGGTCAGTAAGGTGAATGAGCTCACTCCGTAGGATGAGAGCCAGTGCTGCCACAGGGGGAGGGAGCAGAGGGAGGGAGGAAGGGTTTGGCTGGAAGTAGAGATGGAGGAGGAGTGTACAGAGCTTTTTCCTTGCAGCATCAGTCAGCCATTCAGTCAGCTTAGGCTGACGAGCTGATGTCAGCCCAGTCTGTGCTGCAGTTTAGTGCTTTGGCTGTCCCAAACTCCATGTTGAGGTTTTGGGCCTCTGAGAAAGACTAGGCTTACTCAAAAGAGCACATCTTGGTTTTGTGTTTTCACAAACTGCAGCTAGTGGGTGGGACCAGCTTTGCCTTGCTGTAAAAATTCACAGTGTCTCCACAAACTGGAGATTGAAGTAGAACATGGAACCTCTGTCTGTGTTTTGAAAGCCTTGCATTGGAGGCTGTTCAGGTGAGGCTTAAAAACAGGTTCTGTGTGAATCCCAAGGCTCAGGCTTCTAATCACTATCCTGTTGCATACCAGCAACATTCCTATGCACTAGAAGACATTTTTATTCTAAGAGTAGGTCTCCCAAAAGTGTGCTACACTTTCTCTAGGGTTGAGAATGCCTTAATCTCTTTAACTGTGGAAGGCCTGCTTAGGCCTCCCTAAGCCTGATGGGATAAATTGATGGGATAATTTTGATGGCCTTTCCAAGGGGAGTTTCCTGTCTTGATACAGCTTTTCTCACCAGAGAAATCCACAAACTTCCTGATTTTGAGTTGTTTTCTTCAAGGTACAAGAAAATGAGATGTAAGTAGTAATCTAGTGCAGTGAGAGAGCCTTGATAAGATGTGAAATGTTCACTATAACCTCAGGTGTATTGAGTAATTTTTTGCTGTGGTTGGTTTGTTTCTTAATTTGCATGTCCATAGATTTTCAGTGATGTTTTCCTGTCACTACTGTGGATTCTAAACCTAATTCTAACAAATTTTCCACTCGGTTGCTCTTTGAGGTGAAGATGATGAAAGAAAATAAAGTTACTTGTAACAAATTACTGTGTTCAATGTGTTAGCTGTGCTACAAGGATAACATTAAAGTCTTCCTTTGCAGTTTCCATTAGTTAAAAAATGTAATGAAGAATTTCAGTCTATAGTTTCTTTCAATTGCTGTTAGCATTCTTTTAATTTTTACTATTGGAGTTGAAATTTCCTGCTTTTGATTTCTTTTTGATTTCTCCCCTTGGGTGAATACAACTTCTGTTTTTTTTAAATTTGGGAATCTTGATTGTGTTCCAATACAAAGGAGAAGAAATTAACTTCTTACTGGAAATGTAAATCAGACTTTCATCCATCCATGACTGACACTTGACAGGGTACCATTGGGAATTCAGTGCTGTGGTCTGTTAAAAACAAAACATAAAGCCTCCAGCTAAATCAAAAACCCTTTCATCCCCTAATCAAATTTATTTGAACAAAACCCTGACAAGGTAAGCACTCCAAAGTTACCAATTTGCAGATGGAGACATTCTTCACAAGGTTGGTCTTTTGTACATGTTTATTAGAATGTAGTCTTGGATTGCTTGTTCATATGAGTATCTCATCTGCAGAAGAGAGATACTCAGAGATATTTTTTCTCTGATATGCAGACAGGCCATGTCTCGTTAATGAAAGAACAGATGGGAAGAGTGGCTATTAAATAGTGGCAGGAGGGGAGAAGGTGAGGATGGCAAGGAGAAAAGAAGGTTGTAGGCACAGAAAGGAGAAGGCCAAAGTACTGGGCAGAAAGCCACTGTCTGGTCTGCCACATCTCAAAGGTGTCCAGGAAAGTAGTGGGTGAGTGGAGGCCCTTCATCCCTTCTCTCTGCTGATTTATGGTCATCATTCTTAAAAGTATGGGACAAGAAGCAACCAGAAGTAGATGGGTGGTTAGAGAGTTTCTTTGTCATGTTTACCTGTGACTGACTGGACAGTTGTCTAGAACAGGAACAGAGGGAAGCTAAAGATGGGACCTCAGAGGTTCATGGAGCTGAGTTCATGGAGCTGTGATCTCCAGGCTTGTTTCTCAAAGACCCCAGTCCAGGCAGTAATGGAGTACCCGGTGGTGGTGGAATATCGTAACACTGAAAGGAAAGGTACTGGAGGTAGTCATTCCTATAAGGAAGTGTTGCTCACAAAGGGTGAGATGGAAATACTGTCTTACAGATTTGTAAAGGTTCACTCAAGCTCCCATGAACTGGGAGAGAATTTCAGAAAAGCTATGGAAGAGAGTAACTCAGGCTCTCAAGAGAGCTCTCAACTCTCAGGAAGAGAGTAGCCACAGGAGGGCTCCAAGGGCATTGGGAATTTTGGTAGTTCACTTTGTTAATTATGCTTTTTACTTTACCTAATGTCAAATGGTTATGAAAAATTTTTCACCATATATGATCAAGTCAAATTTTTTCTTTTGAAAAAAGAAAAAACCCTCCATCTGAAGACTAGATACATCTGTAGCCTCTAGGGGGGTTATTTACTTTTAGCCAAAGTTATAATTCTGTAAGTTGTGAAGTGTAAAGTGAGAATTCAGTTAAAGTGTGTTTGTATTTAACTTGTGTGTGTTTGTGTGTGTTTTTTCTCCTTCTCTTTCTAGTATAAAGAGTTACCAGAAGGTCTTATCCCTCCAACAACACCCAAATTTGCATATGGGAAGGTTCACCTGCAGAAGGTAAATTAACATCTGTAATACAATGTGTATCTTTTCATGATGCTCCCTGTTTGATTTTTATTAAAAATATTTATGAGGGTGTCACAACAGGCTCTAGATATCCTACAAAATAGAGGAAAACCTTGAAAGCAAACTTTCAGGAAGGAGGGAGAGTTTGGGAATTAGGAATCACGCCCATGTTAGAAAATGATCAAATGCATCTTACCTGACTGTAAAAAGATAGTGTGTACAATATGCAGTATGTGCCTGAAGCTTTGCTGAACTGAAATTAATATATTATTAACACAACAGATTCATAGTTGTTTAAGATTACTCATATATCAGTAGCTGGGGGATTACTCATGTAGCTGGGGAATATTATCATGAGACTTACAGCAAAGTGTTTTTGTAGCTCGTGATGCCTCTAAAGTGGAAGGAAAAGTAGGATATATGTATTTAAAATACTTCAAGACCTTTAAATTTTGAGCGTGGAATATTTTTGATAAATTTGAAAGTTTTATTGATAAAGTTTCTGACAAGATCTGTAGCTGATGAGAGAAATTAAATTGGTTTCCTGCTGAGGGAAAAGCACACAGAACTAAGCACTCAGAACCCAGCCTGTGTGACAGTAGTGGTATAGCTGGTCAGCTCACAAGTATCTGGGGTTTGACTGCAGCACCATCATTTTAGGACCGAGGACAATTTTTTGTGAGATACATTTGAGAACTAGGTTCCTGCTGTGAGTGAAGTGGATGGTTTAATGGGCAACAGAGGACACTGCAGGTATGAACTTGGCTATATTCTTTCTGCTGGGCACAGACAAGTTTTGAGAGGGAGGATTACTGCAGTTGATGTGCTGGATACTGTAACTCCTAATGCTCTGATTTCACACTCTGTAATTTCAATTTGGCAGTTATTTTTCCAGTTAGTCAGGTATCTCATCTCTGCAACTGAAACATTGCAAAATTTAGTAGCGATAAGGCTTTTGCAGGCATTTTCAAGTCATTCCGCTCAAGTGGTGGGCAGAAGAACTTTTTGCATAAAAGTGGTTCATCTGTGAAGCTGAAAGAGATCTGTATCACTTTCAACAACCTTTGGGTGTCTTCTTCCCATATGAGGTTTCACTGAACTGGCAGCAGTGACTAATTATAGGCTCTTATCGCTACACCCACCACCATAGCTGCTGTCTTTGGTTGCGAGCACTTGGCAGCCCAGTTATCAGATCTTGACTCTCCCATCTTGTCATGGGCCGTGGCTCTCAGATAAGGCTGTCCAGTTTCAGTAGAATGAAAAACTTTCTCTTTCATGCCTTCAAGAAATGCTGCTGGACTCTTGCAAGAGTCAGATGACCAAACTTAGTCAAATATTGCATCTTTGACCTGATCTGCCCCTTCTACACCTTGTGATTTTTTGAGAGGAAGCATTTCACTCTCCAGACATCAGTTTTAGGAATGCAGATGGCATGTCTAAACTGCCAGATGTAAGGTTCCTGTCATGCTTGTACATATAGTGCCATCTGCACTGAGAGCCTCTGGAACTGTTTTCTGTGAAGAAGGTGGCCTTTTGCTCTGTGACCCACTGCTTAGCTTTTGCTCTGCTGGGTTACCCTGCAACACAAGTAAAGTCTCCAATCACAGAGGGTTTGGACTGTGCCAGCTCAAAGCTGCTTTCCCAACTCCTTTCTAGCTCCAGCTGGAACCAGCTCCAATACACCTTGTTGTATGAAGAAGCCTTAATGTATTTTGGTGAGTATCAGAGAGGGAATATTCTAAATAATAGCGCTTAGCTTTGGTAACAGTAAACTTCCTAGCTATGTCATTTGCAGTCACAGTCAGTGCTCACACAGGTACTGTGTGGATTTTCACTCTGCAGCTGAGGTCCAGCAGTCAGTCTGCCACAGAGAGCATTGTGTCTACTCCAGTGAACCAACTCTCCTGACACTTTTGCAGAAAGGGTGAGAGAAAGGAGACTCTGGAGTATTTTTAGGGGTCATATGAATGTACTTTACAGAGGTACATGTAACCAGAGCAAGATGTTCTCCATCTTTGTTTTCCTCAAGATATTTTGTGGTAGTAAAGTCCTTAAGTATCAACTCCCCTGATGAGACAGTTATGCATTCTGAGCTATTAATTTATTTAAAGAATCCTACTGGGTGGGAAAAATGCAGTTTCTTAAAAGATGCTGTATGCTGACATTGCTATGTAAGAGCAAAGGCAGGAAAGCAGGTGATACGGAAAAAATCTTGATGCACAGATGCAGAAGAGAAGTGTTGAAGATGAGGAATGAGGGCAAGCAAAGGCAGAACCACAGTAGAAGTGTGAACAAGATGATAGATTTTAAGGACTTTATGCCCCAGAACTTGGGAAGCATTGTTCCAGAGGAGAGTAAATTAATCTTGGTTCCTGTGATGTATCCACGTGGCTGTGCAGGCTTGTGAGCAGGTGATAGTTTCTGGTTAGCACTTGGGGGGCCCTGAGAAGTGCTTGGTCACAAGGAAGTTCTTGCCCTAGCACAGCAGCCTGCAGACTTTTAAATTCTGGAGAAGTGTTCAGTTCTTAAAATGTGGAGAGCTCAAGCAATAGCAAGTAGCAGGCAGTGCTGGTGTGTGTTGGGGCTAGAAAGGGGTTAAGCAAAGAGGATGCTGCCTGTAGTTGATATTCCTGTTGGAGCTATTTCATTCCTTTTTTCTGTCGTGCTTGACTTTACACTTGGGTTTTGAAGACTTTGCTTTGGAGGATTAAATAAGTATTGCTTTTATTTTTAGCAGTCATCTGTTGTTTTACAGGTTGTTTTTAAAAATTCCTGACAATATTTGTAATTTTTAAGTTTACTGGTAAATTTCTCTTGTGGTACTGATTGTCCACTAAGTAGCAGTCAACAGGAATGTGCAGCAAGACCAAATCTTGTCTTGAAGGCTTTTTTTGTATGTATCACCAAAGACTGAAAAGCTGAACAAAAATAAACTCCTGGAGTTTCAAAGAAACAATCTTCTACCAATCCCTAAGAGAATCATACCTCGTTGACCCATATTCAGAAGAGAAGCCCCTTTGGTAGCTGGGACTTAAAAATAAAAAGTCCAACAGGCTGCTGTATTAGCAGTACAAGCTGCTAATACTCAGGTCAGCAAAGCACAAAGGAGCTTTCATTGCCACTTAGTTGCTCATTCAAGTGATGACCATGTCTTAATGCTGCTTGTAGTCATGTCTGGTTTTGCTGTCCACCTAGGGCTAAGACTATTAAAGCCCATAGAATTGTTCAATTCTATAAATTACCTTTGTCAGTGTTTGTGCACATCTTGCTTCACAGCTCTTGTAGAAGACCTGATTTAGCTAAATCTCTCCTGTGGCATGGCAAATCTTGCATGTTGCTGTAACATTACTGGCTCCCTTGGAGGAGCCCAAGATAGGGAGTGGACCATGTATGCAGTCTGGAATGTTTGGGAGATCTTACTGTATCAAAAATGATTGCGATTTTAGGTATGACTTTTAAACTGAAAACATGAGAGCGAGCAACTTTCATCAAAATTTTGCAAGCCATGTTTGACCAGCAATCTTCTTGCCCAAGTGAACATGCTTAGCTGTGGGCTAGTAAGGATGACCCAACCACTAGACAGTGTTGCTGTTACCTTTTATTTACTTATGTCTTGCTTGCTCCTAGCTAGAGTTAAGACAATCTCATTTCAGAAGTCTGTTTAGATCTGTGTCTACATGGTTGTTGTGGTTTAATCCTGGTAGGCAGCTGAGCACCCTGCAGCCACTCATTCTCCCCCAGTAGGGAGGGGAGAGAATCAGAAAGGTAGAGGTGTGAAAACTTGTGGGTTGAGATAAAGACAGTTCTGTAGGTAAGCAAAAACTGCACACATAAGTAAAGCAAAATAAGGAGCTCATTTGCTACTACCTTTGCAGAGGGAGGCACTCAGCCTTCCCAGGGAAGCAGGGCTCCATCACAGAATCATTAATGTTGGAAAAAACCTCTGAGGTTACTGAGTCCAAGCATTAACCCAGCCACTACTGTGTTCTTCACTAAACCACGTTCCAGAGTGCCGCATCACACAACTTTTGAACAATTTGTGTGTGTTGGTTACTTGACAAGATAAACACTGTCACGCCAAATGTCTCTCCTTCATCCTTTTTCCTCCAGCTTTTATTGCTGAGCATGTGAGCATGACACCAATGGTACAGAATATGCCTTTTGTCAGTGGGGGTCAGCTGTCCTGGCTGTGTTCCCTCCCAGCTTCTTGAGCATCCCCAGCCTGCTGTCTGGTGAGAGGAGCAGAAAAGTTCTTGAATCTGTGTCAGCCCTGCTCAGCAATGACCAAAATATCCCTGTGTTATCAGCAGTCTTGGCAAGAATACAAAACACAGTCCCATGCTAACTTCTCTGAAGAAAATTTAACTGTATCCCAGCCAAAACTGCAGACTTAATTTTGTGTACATAGGCAATTCATGCTGGCTTCTGTTGCATCGCTGCCAAATACTGTATGTACATTTTAATATTTCAGTATAACTTTCATGTAAATTCTGTAAAAGTTCAGTTTTCTGTTATTGAATATTTCTGTTATTTAAGTACCTTCAGAAGTTTGTACTGCTGTGAGTACTCTTACAGTATAGTTTTACATGTTTTTAAACACCTTTTTTATTAAGCATTTGAATGTAAATCTGGTATATGAGAGGTGTCTGAATGTCTAATATGTTGTTATCACTGAACAGTGGCAATAGTTCTGGGGAAACAGACTGACATCTTTCATGAAAAATCATATGCAATTGATTTTCTGAGCTTGTAAGACATTAGGCATATTGTGTGCATTTTAACTAACCTAAAACTGATGATGGTGTTTGAGAGAGTATCATAGATGGGTAGAATATTCCATGTTGGCAATTAAAGGCAATCTAATTGTACAAATCTAAGTCCCTATTCAGCAAGGTGTTTATGTGTGTGACTAGCCTAAACCTTGCCTCCAGTCTTGTTAAAACCAGTGCAGCTACTTACATATGACAACTTAATTACAGCCTTAGAGTTTATGAAATCATTTAAGACTAAATAGAGTAAATTCATCTTGGATGGCTCTTGATGGAATTAAACTGTATCCCTACTTAGTTCAGAATGGTTCTGGAGTAACTCAGTGGGAATCACTGGCATTTTCTCTAGTTGATTCTAAGTATAACTGAGCAAAATTTAGATAATATATTGCTTTGTATTAATCATCCTGAGCAGTTGTGTTTGTTTATACAACTTTTGTGAGAAACTCCTGGGGTAGTTCTAGTTAAGTAATAAGGGGTCACTTTCATTTTTGTGAGTGCATAGCAAAATTAGAGCATCTGTTTTTATTAAAACACTGCTGTACATGTGGCATGTTTCAGAGTTAATCAGTTGTGTTTGCTATATTGTATTTTAAATGTCTGCAAGGATGGTGTAAACATTTGTTACCCTTCTGGACACATGGAGCTAGCTGACTTGATTGGTGGATGTGCCAGCTGTTATATTTCAACTGAAACTTACTGACTTTCATGTATCTGCCTTTTCTGTGCTGCAGGCAGGCACTGTGTTGGAGGTTCTTGATGGACTGTCACGTTCTGGACCAGTGAGAAGCACATATCCATTGACTTTTGTTGAGCTAAAGCAGGTGAGGATTCCTTTAGTAGTCACTTTGCAGTAATTTTATGGAGTTTATTTGAGCAACCCTCTGTGGTATTACTCTTCTTATGTCATGTCTTACACTTTATCTAGGACACACTAATAGTATTATAAAGGTGTCGTGGATTTTTGCATTGGAGGCCTTTTCATATTCTACAGTGTTTTACACCTGAGGCTTTCTTCTTCTTTTGGATGTAGGTGTCTGTGCTGTCTAGGCTTTCACCTTGATTTCTCTCCTCTCTGAAATATTAATTTTCATGTCTTAAATGGCTTTTTTTAAATTATCTTCATAGCCCTCTGCTGGATCTGTTTCAATAGTTCTGTGTCCTCTTTTTCTGAGGAGCCCAGAACTGAACACAACATTCCAGATGTGGCCTCAGAAGGGCTGAGAAGAGGGGTGGGATCATCTCCCTTGACCTGCTGTCCATGTTTTTCCTAATGATACCATCAGCCTCCTTGGTCCCTAGGGCACTGCTGCCTCAGGAACAGCTTGTTGTCCACCAGGACCCCCATGTCCTTCTTCTCAGAGCTGCTTCCAGCAGATCAGCCCCCCGTCTGTGCTGGTACATGGGGTTATTATTCCCCAAGTGCAGGGCCCTGCACTTGCCTTTTTTTGAAGTTTGTTACTTACCTCTCCACCCAGCTCTCCAGCCTGCTAAGGTCTCAGGAATGGCTATGGCTTTTATATTCTTTCCATTCCTGATGGGGAACTTAGTGAAAATTATTCCAAAATGTTCCTGGTGTAAACCATGTAGTATTTAATGGATAACTAGATAATGTTGACTTGTTGGATGTATCAGTCTCTGGGCACTGGGTGAGAAGTGAACTTACAAGTTTTTTATGTAAACTCAGTTATAAAGGGATTTTCACCAGTTTACCTAAAGGTCACCCATTACCTAAAGGTCAAAATAAACTCTAACCTGAAATGGTGTCTGTGATAGTCACTGTCTGAAGTGAATGAAAGTTAGCATTTCAGTGCAGGCATGTAGGCAGAAACGTGCGATATTTTTAATTCATGACCTGAATTGAAACAACAGAATTGCTTGGTTCATTAATCTGTTGGGGTTTTTTCTTTTCTTTTCCTAGTATTTTGGATATGTATTGTATAGAACTACACTTCCAAAGAACTGTGTGGAACCAACACCACTGTCTTCAACTTTAAATGGAGTCCATGATCGTGCCTATGTCTCTGTCAATGGGGTAAAATCACTATTTGCTGGTAATAATTTATGCCATCAGTGGCCTTCATGAAAGTCGAGGATGCAGACTGGATTTTTTTTTCTCCTTCCTTCAGATCACCAAAGCAACCCTGATCGTATTTAATCACATGAGGAAAATAAGGAAGTACAGACTTGGTGCATACCCGATGTTCCAATTAGTATTGCAGAAAACTTGACTATCTATTATCTTGCCATTTTTGACATATTTGAATGTTGATACATATTCATGACTGAGGTGAATAAAAGACCTAGAGAATGAATTTACTTGCAGGTTTATGGAATATGTTACTGATATATATACTTGGTGGTTTTCTGCAATATTTGCAAAGATTTTTTTTATTAGTTTTTTCTTATTTCTTCCTTTGAGGATGAAAGAAGGAGAAAGTCTGAGCCAATGTCTTACCTTATAAAAGCGGCTTCTAACCGCAGTTTCAAAAAAAAATGTTTGTTGTACAGAATGTAAACTTAGTCTTTCTTTCCATAAGCAGGGTTTTGGCCTTGCTTAATGAGAATATAAATTCATGTATTTTACAGTCAATTAATATTTGATGCATATGGACTCTTATCACCTTTGTGTCCAGATCAAGCTCATCTTTCCTTGTGTTGTGGGAATAGGAATAAATAAAACTAAATATTGTTGTACACATAATTGGAAAATGAAGCCAATGATTAAATCACTGATATTGCCAAAATCTTTTCAGTCACTGGACTAAATTTGGGAACTTGCATTTGTGAGTCAGATGCCTCAAAACCCACTATCACATCCAGTTGATGTAGTGAAATGTGAATGTTGATGTAGAAGCCCTTTGTGTGTGCATGTGCTCACATGCAGGAGATGGAGAGGAAAGGGATTTTCTTTACTCTTTTTTTTTCCTTTGCACTTTTAATCTTTTCATGCAAGTTGAAAGAATAAGTAACAGGGCATTCTTGGGTTTTAGTGTTTATTGTTTTCTTCTTCTTGTTGCAATTCATATAGGTACCTCAGGGTATCCTTGAAAGGGGGAAATCACTTAAGATAAATATAACTGGGCAAGCTGGAGCAAATCTGGACATTTTGGTAGAGAATATGGGCCGAGTCAACTTTGGTAGATACAATAATGACTTTAAGGTAAGTAAAATCTATTGAGTTATTGGATTGTGATGGCTTTTCGTCTTTTCCACAGGTTAAAAAGAAAGTAGTGAACTAGGAAGAACAAAAAGTTCAGGATTAAAGCTGTAACTTTACCTAAAATATATCTAGTCAGTAGTTTCCATCTGAGTTTTCCAGACACCAGAATCAATGTGAAATTAAAAGCTGCTAGACGTCTTTTGAACTTTTTTTGTTTGTTCGCTTACATGGTCAGCCAAAGTGCTACCCACAAGATTTTCCGGTTCAGATGAGTTTATAAATAGTAGTATTAAAATTGTTTCTATAAACTCCAAAAATGAGTTGGAAATTGGTCCAGAACTTGATTGCACTTTGAGGCTTGTGAATCCTGGGATTGCTTTTGGAGGCTGGGAGGATGTATGTATGTGTATATAAATACCCTGTTGTATCTTTCTTCTTGCCCCATTTCATTTGCCAGCAGTGTACCCTTGCAGTACTCTGTGTGTGGCTGGGAAAGGCTGTCCATGAACACTTCAGCATGCAAAAGTGCCAGTTCACCCAAACTGACCTGGTGTTACTATTATCACAGAGCTTCTGGGTGTGTGCTACACTTCAGGACTGTCACCTCCATGCATGAGAGGTTGTGATGGGCTGGCCTTGGCTGTGCTCATTCTGTCACTCGTCCTCCACCAACAGGAGAGGGGGAGAAAATACAATAAAGAGTTTGTGGTTCAAGATAAGGACAAGGGGATCATTCAGAAATTACTGTCATGGTCAAAACAAACTCAACTTGGGGAACTCAGTTTATTCTTAAATAGGTCATCAAAGAGATGCTCTCAGAATCACTGATGGGCTCAGCAATGGGTCTGTTCCAGAGTCAGCTGGAACTGTCTTTGTCTAACAAGGGGCAGCTTTTGGCATCTTCTCAGAAGAGTCCCCACTGCAGCTCCCCTTGCTAACAAACCATGTAAACCCCATACCATGGAGGTACCACTAAGGTAGCCCTAGGAAGGGGAGGGGCAAAAAGTAAACTTTTCTGGTTTTAGACTTAATGGGATCCCCAGTGCTGCATTAACAGTCAATAAAAGACAGGAGTGCTTTAGAGGTGAGTCTTGTATTATGTTTGTGCTGTGTACAGTTCACAGCATTCCTTTTTTTTATTTTTGATATTATTAGGATGCAGTAGGTAGCAGTAGTGCTAATTGTGTTCATACTGTCTCTTTAAGGTACTTTGCCTTTATCTGAGTGGCAGAGGAAGGAAGCGGGTACCCCAGTATTTTGCCTTCATGTTGAGGCAGCAGAGACACTGCTTTTATTAACTAATTAATTAATAATTTATTAACAGGCCAGATGATAAGGAAACCTGTATGCTTAGTTTTAAATTAAGGAAAGAGAGTAGAGGTTTAGAGGTTAGATTAAGGAGATGTTCAGTTGCTGTGGTTGAGCTGAAATTGAAACTTATACCTTTTAACCATATAAGAGTGAAAGCAGGATTAAGAGACATGTCCATAGGGAAAATAATCCTCTAAAAGCAGGATCTTTTTGAGTAGAAAAGGCAACCTTCCTTGGGTAGCTTTGGACTATGTGCATTGCTTCTTTCTGTAGACTCCATCCCTCATGCTCTCCTTCATGTTGATTTTGAAAACTGGGTGTAATTATACCTTGGGTTTTAAAAATCCATGTGGTTTTGAAAATCAATTAGGGGAAGAGATTCCTGTCTTGTGAAGCCTTCCATTTTTTAACAAAGAGGATAGGTTTTCAGGGTTTTGTTTGGCTGGAGTTTCATCACTCTTTTGAGCTTGAGATGGAACTAGGCACCTCGCTTTTGGGAAGGAATCTTGAAAGGATTTTGGTTTTAAAACATCCTGTTGATCTAAGTCTTGTTAAAAGATACAAAGGAAGGAAGAGTGTGGTTTCTGTTATTTTATATGTCTTTTCACATGCACGCTGGCACCTATATCTCAGTTTTACTTGGAAAATCCACATCTTGGTACACTGAGTCACTAGCCCAAGACATTAACTTGTACAATAGCAGAGAAAGTGGTATTTACTTCCTATAAATCTTCTCCAGATAAGGACCATTGAATGTGTATTTTTATGCAGACCTAAGTAAGAATGTTTAGTACGTACTTAATGTAATTTGAAAAATCACTCTGTTGATAGTGCCTACGGATGAGCTTAGGGAGACAGGTTAGAAAGTTCAGGCTGAAGTTATGCTGCATTATGTCAATTGATTGCTAGAGAGAATAGAGTCTAGGTTGTATAGAAAAGTTTTGTCACTTAACTTTTGACACTTGCAGATATTTTTTTTGACATAAGCAAAATAAGCTCCTGTTCTGTAGTGGACATTAGGTAAAGGAAGAGAAAACCACTTAGTGCTCATACAGGTGGTGAGCTTTTTGGAGACAGTGCAATGCTTAGGAGATATCACAGCAGACACACGACATAGTATCAGCTCTCCAAAGCCATGGAAACTGTGGTTAGCTTGTTCCTGTTTGACATGTGATGTTTGCAACATAACTAGTGTTGCACCAGCTGTGAAAACCAGCTTCTGTGCAGGGTTGATTCGAGCAGTTCAAACCAGCCCCTTGCATTGCACTGAAACACTGCTTTAGGAACCATTACTGTAACAAAGTTAGGATGTTTGCAGGGGTAACGTCATGTTCTTTTCATTCTTAAATGATGTCCTTACCTTGCTTTGGCATTTGGTGTGCAAGCACCCCAGTGTGCTGTGAACCACTGTGTACATGGTCCCATAGGAATGAGATGGGATTCCATGGACTTGAAGCTGGCTGTAAGCTGAAAGCATTTTACTGAATTGAGCATGTGCATTGATTTTATTGTACTATCTTGTCTGGAGAAGATTTGTGGGAAGAAAATACCACTTTCTCTGCTATTGCACAAGTTTAATGTCTTGGGTTAGTGACTCAGTATCACGAAGCGATGGTATCTCAGGCTTAATGACATTTAAAGTTGCTTCTCCTTTTTATTAAGCCTCAGGTTTTGGAATCATGTCCATGTAAAAGCAAAACAGGAATTTTTACAGTTACAACAAAAGAATTTGAAAAAAACTCTTGTGTATTAATGAAAGCCTGAAACTCTGAAGAGGAACAGATCTTTCTCAGAGAATAAATGAAACCCTTTATTTTTAAGCAAAGCTTATAACTTGGTGAAGACCAGATGCTTGTGTTTTTTGTATACAGATTGGGAGCTGGTTGTTACTTTGATTCACTTTTTATTTGTGACTGATTTATAGTTACACCCAAATAACTTCAATAACATCAGCTAATTATATTTTTGTGTTGTTTCTTTTTTCTTCCTCCTAGGGTCTAGTTTCAAATTTAACTCTTGCTGAAGATATACTTGCTGGATGGGAAATCTATCCTCTAGACATAGATGGAGCAGTGAACAATGACTTTATTTATCCCCTTCCTAACCAGAACACATCTGCTGTCAAAGCACTGAGTTATGAAGTACCTACATTTTACACCGGTACTCTTTCAATTCCTGGAGGGATTCCGGACTTGCCACAAGACACCTATGTCAATTTTCCTGGTTGGACAAAGGTACACATTTTTTGCTGTAAAAACATCAAATCCACTTAGAAAGCTACTGAAACTTCTATGGACAATCAAAGTCCCCCTCTCCTAGACGGGTAGAAGTTGGTCATAGAGGTGGGTGTCTCAAATTTATTTAAATTACTAAGAAATGGATTCTTTGCTTTAAATAAATCTGGGGATGAAACATTAAGAAAAGGGAAACATATTCAGAACATACATAGTATTGATGTAGAAAGTGGAGCATCACAAAAAAAACCCCAAACCAAAACAACTGAACCAATTTACGCAAGTTTTTCAACAGTGAGAAAGATTAACTGTCAGGCTGTTTAGAAGTGTTGCATTTGGTTGTGCAGGGAGTTTTTTTGGATCATATTTGAGGTGCTATGTTAGGAGCTATGGATCCTGTTGCAAAGCATAAAGAGTGTTGGACTCTGTGGCTGATGGTGTGCCACAGATGTGGATCTAGTGCATGGAGAAGGTTGCCTGTACCTGGACTGAATGGATGAGGAAGCACTGCTGTGAGAAGCTTGTGGGCAGATCTTTGCCAATGGGAATTTCTCACAGGGTTGGAGTGTAGCTGGAGCAGGAAGGAGTGTGTTTTCATAGTGCCATGTCTGCAACCACCAGCATGCAGGATGGGTGAGGAGCAGCTCAGCTGCTCCTGGTGGGAGGCACTGGGAGCAGAGTGTGTGCACTGAAGTGCTACTCTTTGGAAGCCTAAGTGTTTAACTCCAGGCTTTAGGGAAATGCCTGTGGCAGTGTTAAGTAGCAAAATTGTACTTTTCTGAAACAATTAATTTGCTACTATTAAAATAAAGTAGGAGAAAGAACTGCTTTTGGTCTGTCTCCACTGCCAGTATTGTAGTGGTTAAAGCACTTGTCAATATGCAGAAGGCTGTGATTTATTGCATGCTCTTGGTGTTGCTGACACTGAGCTTAGATGAGAAAGTCTGTCTTAGTCCCTGTCCCTGTATAGTGCATGTCACACAATCACTGAATAAAATTGAAAAAATAGCTTTTTTCTCATGGCAACTGGAATCTTAGGCCTTTTTAGTAAATTCTGTGACCCTATCATCATAAATCTTCTTCAGGAAGTGAGGTGACCACACATGCCAGTTTTAAAATGGCAAGGTAGTCCAAGAATTCTTAGGTACTGGTGGAAATCTTTTATTCTGATCTATGGAAACCTGTGTTTTATGTAGTTTGTATACCCTGTAAAGCAGTCCTGGGGAGAGATTCCAGATGAGCTTTAGTTTGGCTGTTGAATTTATCCTTCAAGCTTTACATGGATTGGATGAGAGATTGAAGTGAAATACCCGGAAACTGAGACTTTCAGATAATTTTAAAAATGAGCAAATGCCTTTAAGGTAGATGGGTATAAATTCCAGTCACTGTATGTGTGCCTTAGTTCTTTGCATGGCACTGTGTAAATTACTTAACTGTGGAGTGGGATTCTTAACAGGGGTTAAAATTCACCTGTCTGAGTAGTTGAAAAACCACAGAAGCAGCACTTACCAAGAAAACTTAAAGTCCTAATGATGGTTCTGCCTTTGCAAAGGCAAGGAATATAGCATAAGGGACAGCCTGGAAGGAAAGGTGCAGTATGAACAGTTAACCTGTTAACCTGTGTTGTAGTTAGCTTGCCTTCAGTGCTTTTTAAACTGTTCAGCAGTAATAAAACTTACTCCACCCTCCACATGAGGAATCACGATGTCCTTAAGCATACACGCCATTGAGTGAATGTTTACATTTACTGGACCTTTTTTCTTCAAAAGAAAAGAGGATTTGAGTCAAAACTGTTCTTGTTTTCTGTGGAATCATGGGCTATAATTGCTGTCCCTGCTAAAGGAAATCTTGCTAGTGAAGATGAAGTTCCTCCCTCTTTATTTTGTCTAGGGCATATTTATTAGTAGATATGATGTCATAATTTGCTTGTTTGGGGCTTACAAATTCCTGAATGTGGAGTCTTTAGAAATTGCAGTGGTAATAAAGACGGTTTGGAGTTGAGAAATGTAAGTTCTTAGCTTTACTGGAAAAAGGAGTTACAGTGACTGATTCAGATCAGAAACAGAGACCTATCTGATCATATCTCCTGCATCAGAACTCTACTGCAGTTGATTCCCACACTAAACACCTACTTCCCACAGATTGCTGTCATTCTCTGTGAGAGGAGGGCCACAGTCTAGTGGGTACACTCACTCATCCATTTTTTGTGGGGGGAGTTTGCATTCATGCCATGTTTTCTTCTAAACCTACTACAAAAAGTAATGTGTTTGAATAAAGACAAACTTGATTTAAAAAAAAAACATTTGAGGTCAAGGTTTATTAACACCTTGGCAGAACAGAACAAGATAGGATCTTATACCACGGAAGTGGATACAGAGGTGAAATAATTCAGCTGCATTTGCATGTTACTAACTCCTTAAAAAGTTTCTCTTGTGAGTTTGTAAAATTTAATTTCAGAAATACCTGAAAAAGGAAACACTAGAAAAATACCACTAAAGCAGCTTGAACCAGCAATACTTGTTATATTACATTTGTGCTTCTGTAAATTGTGTTAAAATATTCTAATTTTAGCTATCCCAGACAACTTTAGAAATCACTGAATGCAGTAAAAGTCCTACTTTCCACTGATTCAGACAATTTTATTATGTTTATCAGTGTACATCCATGCCATGAGTCTGGTTTTCCTCTATGTTTTGATTACCAAAGGCCAAAGCAAGAAGGAGAAACACAGATGCAGTTATCTGTTTCCATCCCTTTTCTTGACACTAAACTCTTGTTTGATGTACAGTGAAAGGACACTTTGGAGGAGTAAAACCAAAATATTTATGCAAATCAGTATATCCTCCCTCTGTCTTACTTGAGAACCAAGACTCAGCTTGACTCAGTAGTAGTCAGTTTACAGTTTTACTAAACATTCTGCAGCCTGCCAATTCATGGACTTCTGGAAAAATCTGCATTTATGTCACTTCAGTGTGTCTATAGATAAATTAGTGTTTTCACTTTTTACTTTTTTCCTTGCCCATTTATTTTAATCTTTTGAATTTAAGGTATTTATGATGTTAGTACAGTATTTTGAGTTAGGGGTTCTGACCACTCAGGTATAAAAAGCAATTTTAAAAATTTGTATGCCACAATTTTATTGTACTTAAAATAATACTAGGTGATCCCAAGGCTTTTAATGGTTGTGTGTAACTACATCAGTACTTTATTGCAGTGTGATTGCACAAGTACTTTTGTCGACCAAGCTATTACAAGTAAAAGAGAGATGTGAATTTCACGTGTGTAGACAAGCTGTATCTTGTGATTTCGAAATCACAGAGCAGGGACTACCAAGGTGTTGTAGTCTTATACTTGTACAGAAAACCGTAAGAGCCTTATAATCTGCTTTTTTCTTCTGTGACTTCTTTCTCCTTTTAACAATTAGCTTCAAGCAAATACAGGTTTTGGATTTGTTTTGGTCTTAAACTTGGGTCAAAAATCAGTGCAAGGAGCTTGCAGTTGTTTTTCTAATTATTGTCATATTTGCAGTTACTGCAGTATTTTACCACTTTCTTTTTAAATATTAGCAATGGCTTTGACTGCTCAGGGAATTTGGGTTCTTTTGACTGTCATTAGCATAGATTTTCTATCCTTGTGTTCAACCAAACTGAAAAGTGAAAGGAGTTCAGTTACTATATTAAGAATGTTATGCTTAAGCCTATTTTGTCATTTCACCTCTGACAGATTATTAAAATGTTGTTATTTTTTCTTTCTCTCTTAACAGGGGCAAATTTGGATCAATGGCTTTAATCTTGGTCGCTACTGGCCAGCCCGTGGTCCTCAGCTGACCCTTTATGTTCCAAGGAATGTGCTCGTTGCCTCGGCGCCAAACAACATAACCGTGCTGGAGCTGGAGCGCTCTCCTTGCAGCGCCCAGACGTGCGACATAGAGTTTGTAGATGAACCTAATATCAATGCAACCCTACTGCATGAAACTGAGAAACCCCCACTCTTTGTTAGAGAGCTGTGGACGAAGTATCTATAATGATTCAAGTATTTCTTCCACCCTCCGCCCTTTGCTTCTCTTTCCCTAAAACCATACTGTGTAACACAGGGTCTTCGAAAAAGGGAGGTTGTTTAGGTGAGGCAACTTCTTAAATCCTTCAAAGATACACATTTTTTAAAATCTCTCAGTTAAATATTGAATTTCTTTTTAAAAATAAAAGCTGGAGCTTTGAAATTTGCCTTGGACTGTGAAATTGAACTCAACTGGAAGGTAATGTTTTCATTAGTGAAAATGTAGTCCTTGTACTCTGCTTATATGCAGTAACCTTCCTATGCTTTTATTTTTCTCCATGTTTTGCAACTGGAGAGAGGAGCCACAAAAGGTGTGCAGCCCCCACTACCTTGCTGGTTTCACTTAAGTGGACTGGTAAGTCAGAGCTGCCAATAGACAAGACCCTTTAGCTTCCCTAATCACTTTATTAGAGTATCAACATCGTTTTAATTTTATTTGGCTTACTGCCAGCATTGAGTGGACCTCATTTTTTAATGCAAGTGACTTTCAGAAAATTTCAGTTGATTTCTTATAGGACCAGTGAGAAAAACTATGGAAGAGAGCATTCAGATGCCAGCTGGTCCAAACAGCAGTAGCATGGAGTCTCATCTGTCCCCTCTTGGAAAGCCAATTTACGGCTTCCCTGTTGCTGTCTCTGAAGACTTAAAGTAAATTGATAAGTACAAAGACAAGTGAAATTTAGGCTGCTTTGATGGAACCACAACGTCTGACTCACCTGCCTGCAGAATGTGGTTTTAAAATTATGGATTTTTTTCTTTATTTTTTTGGTTTGAGTTGGGTTTTTTCTGGTTTGTTTGTTTGTTTTATTTCTTTTTTTTTTCCTATTGGTCATGGTGTACCTGCTTTTTCATAGGCCAGCACCTTGGAAGTGGAATGCTTTAAGTTAAAGAATTTTATTTCTCTTTTGGTCATTAATTCACATCAGTTGTTTTGTTCCAGTAAACTGATGGTCTTTGTAAGTGACTGATATTTGCAAAGATGCATAAAAACTCCATTAGTACATTTGACTTTCTGAAGACAAAATCTTTTTGATTCTTGTGATTTTGGTGTCAGTCATGCAAATTCCATGGTGATATTTAAACAACAGAAAGGATCAAATCAAGTATTTTCATAATCTGTGATTTCTTCCTTTGATTTTTATCTGACATTATTAAAATGATTATTTAAAGAATAAATTCTTCCTCTGTGTGTTTGAGAAAGAAAAAAGGATGAGAGAATTATGAGCATTTATTAAGAGAGAAATGAGATTGCAAAGTCTCGGTGGATGAGGAGTTATTCTTGTTAATGTCTTGTTAATTTTCTCTGTTATGAAGATCTGTACAAAGAAAAATGAAGCAGCTATAATGGGCTGACCATACACTGGAGATGCCACCCTTTTCTGAGATGGCCAGTGCAAGATCCTGGCTATTTCCTCTGATGAGGACCAATACTATCACTGGAGAAGAGGGTGTAAAAGAGCACCACCCACTTCATGTGTGCTGCATGTTTGGCATGTTTGATGGGCTTCCAAAGGAGACAAATGTGGCTCATCCAGGACAGAGCAGTTCTGCTCTTAAATTTGGACCTCAAATGTCAGTTCCAGGGTCTGAGGGCTGTGTGTTCTGTACCCAGGCATGATTGATTCTTGGAATGGTCTGCTCTGACCACAGATTTTTTTCGTTCTTGGCACCATCCCTATGGTGCATCTGGAATATGCTCTGCATGCAATTAATTATCAAGTATTAATTACCTCAGAACTAGGCCTTGAAAGTAAAGGATGAAACAGAATCAGTTTTTAACTGATGGGTTTTGTGGCTTGGAGTGTGCAGAATGACAGTACTATTCATGTATTATTTAAGCTCAGTGCTGTTACAGCTGACAGTATTTTTATTTGTATGGCAGTTTCTGCTGTGAGGGCAGTGGAACTCCTGGCTCTCATTCTAACTTCTTTATGTTGTACTTCTGAAAACATAGTGTGATCTGTGAGACTTCACTTTTCACCATGAAAATTATGTAATATTACCAGCAGAAGGGCTTTGCATCAAGAATTATAAACATGCATCTGATTAGTTCTAAGAATAACAGTAACGATGTGGAAAGAATGGGTTTAAAGTTTTTCAAGTAGGGCTCTAGATAGCTTCTTTAGCATACTTGCCTATTTACTGCTTTCAGTGAAGTGGTCTCCTGTCCACAGAAAAGAGCTGAAAATTGTGGCCCTGATTCCTAATCCTCTTCTACCTACTTGGAAACACTGCTGGAGATGTTATTTGAGTATTCAGAAGGGAGGTCCCTGTGACACAGGACCTTCAGAATACAGCTCTAGCAGGAGGAACCTGTTGCCAGTTGCTGCTGCTTTACCAAAGTGTCAGCAAGTGCTGCAGCTGAGTGCTCTGCCCTGCCTGTGCCCACACTGGGGCACTGTGCCCACAGCACATGCCTGGGACTTACCTTAGGTTTCCTAGCCTGGGCATGGAGTCCTGCTGGGACTGAGTGTGATACAAAACAGGACTGTGTGGCATTTCCTCCTTTGCAGCCTCAGGCAGGTCAGTTATTTTAACCTGTCCTCAAATGTAGTTCAGCCATGTCTGAAGTGTCAATGTAATCAAAATTAAACCTTCTGACTGAGGGAAAATGAGTAAGAGAAGAGGGGCCATAGGGAGTTACCTGCTGGACAAGGCACTGGTGGGCCTACTTTCAATTTGTTTTTGAAAGGCAAGGTGTGAAAGCATTGTCAGACCCCTGGCTGGAACCTGTGGTGTAGTTGTATGAGCTGTTCCAAGTGCTGGAGTTCAACAGGATGGTCCCTCTGGTGGAGCCAGCTGCCTCCTGAAGGCCTGGCAAGAAGGAATATTCCTAATGCTAAAACTATGGGTCCTCAAATCTTTCCTGGTGCATCTCCTTGGAATTTGCAAGTGAGTTGCTTGCACAGGTGCTGAGTAATGAGCACAATATTCTCTCATTTTGGCAGAGAGTGCAAGTATGGTATTTGGTCGAAATTAGTTCATAAAAAACAGAAGTTTATTGCTGATTCCCTCTGGAGGGTAGGCAGATGCTTGCAATTCTGTAGGGGGATGCCCTTTGATACCATAGAGATACCCATAGAGTATCTGTAGTGGCTCAGCTTACCACAGAATTTTTTTTTCAGCTCTGTAGTGGGGTTTGTAAACTTAGTCTATAATCCTTTTTATGCATGAATGAAAGCCTTTAAATGTGGTTATTTGGGATGAATGAGCAAATAGAGGAACAAGAACTGACTGTGTGCTATATAGTTGAATTCTATTTCTTAACTTATGTATGAGACTTCCATAATTTAACTATCTTACTAAGTGTTAGTCAGCATTTTCTAGTCCCTGAATGACAGGATTGAGACTTGACCTTGTCGTCCTTTAGACTCTGTGCCTTTTGTAATTCTTTGGTGCAGACAGCTCTCCAATCTCCTCCCCTTTGGGAGCTTCACAGTGCCTGTTGTTTTCTTTTGCAGTTTTTTGGATGAAAAACTAATTTTTTGTTTGCACAGCTTGAATACTTGCAGGAGTGAATAGAAATAATCCTTCTGCCTGGACAGGAAACCTATCCACCTGACAGATGTGTGTCAGGTGTTCAGAAATGACAACTGCAGAAGAAGGATAATCCTGTGGTTTGCAGTGTGCTCTGAAGGAGGTGTTGCTGTTATTGTACAGGCTGAGAAGGTGACAACATTTTAACAGATAATACATGATGAAAGGTTTGTAAGAGATGTTCTAGCCCTATGTGTCTCTACCCTAAGGCAACATCATTTGTATCTTAAATATTCTCAGTGTGTTTCTTTAACCTAGCCTTCAAGATTTCTTGTGATGAAAACTCCAGTCTTTCCTGGGCAAATTATTCCAGTGTTTACTATTAGGAAACTTGCTAGTAATGACTGAAGCCATCATTGCTGTGTGTAAGCCAGTTATAACTTTCACTGTCCACAGCCAACACAAAGTGTGTATTTGTGCTCTGAGGCTGTTTTGTGCCCTTTCACTTTCTTATCTCTTTTAACTTATTTAGAGAAATTTTAAGAGGTGCAGGTTAACACAGAGATTTAACAAGGATGTGAAAGGGCAGACAGCTCCTGAATGACTTGGTCTAGGTGCTACAGCATCTCTTTTTAATAGAAGTTGCTGAGTTACAAGACAGTTGTCTTGCAGGCTGGGACTTTAAAGCATAGCATTTAACCTCAAAGTCCTGGCTGGGGGCTTATGTGACAGAAGAAACTGGAAACTGCAGAAGAATGGGGTCTGCATTAGTGGTTCTCCTTCAATGAGAAGGCAAAACTAGGCAGAAATAGATTATCCTAGAACCTGGTGCCATGGGCTGACTGGAAAAATGTTTGAAAAGTACATCACAAGGATCTTTCTTATGCTTTTGCTGAATAAAGTGTGTGTATTTTTAAAAATCCCTTTTCAGAAGATATTTCCTGTTGCTTGTTATGTTATCAAATAGGGGAGTAGTGACCTTCCCCTGTTTTGGGGGAAATGTTGAAGGTCTGTGTTACCTCAAGACATTTCACAAAACCAGAGCTTATTTCAGTAATGCAATCCCTTTTCACTAGGATATATGATGTGGCCAAGGAATTTGGGATATATTTAAGATCTCTTATTTTGGGCTTTAGCACATGCACTTGTCCCTCAGGAGGCAAGTACATACACAGCTCCAAAGCCAGAGTCTTAGGAAGGTCCCACATTTAACTCCATAGAATTGGACTGGGAAACGCAGACTTGTTCCTGAGGCTCTCCAGCACAATTTGATAGCAGACCTTGTGCCAGCATCATGGTTACCTCGCTGTCTTGCTCTCTCTGTTGTTGTGCTTACAGCTGCATGATTGTAACTCAGCCTCTTAAAATCTTTTGGTAGACAAGAGAGGGGAAAAAACTGGCACCCTTATAAAATTGAGAATTGAGTTTGAAACTCCAACTGGAGGTACCTTTTTTAAGTACAGTAGATTTGTTGAATATCAGTGCAAATTCAGTAAGAATATCTAGGCAATATCTATGTTCTGAAAGGCTTTTCCTGTTTTCTTTTTCCCTGTCAGTATATGCACTATTTTTATTAAACTTAGTGCTTCTGTAGGACTCATGCTTTTATATTAATATTAACTGAGCATTTTCAGTGTTTGTAAATGTGGGCCAGAGCACAGATCTGGGCCAGAGTGGGCAGATGCCTAGCAACTCATCCTTCTGATGCTGTAGCTAAGAAATTCTTACCTAGTTCCTGTTTCATTCTTCCTGAACTCTTGCTGGTTCTTCCTCTCATAGTAGGCAAGTCTTACGTGTAGAGGAACTGAAAAAATTTCCTTCAATATGTCTTTATTTGTCTAAAATGGAGTTGATCTCCAATCCTTCCACCTATGCATTGGCAGTTTGCAAGCTGGATGAAGATGCCTGTGCATCTAGCTTGCTTATGCCTGTCTCCTTTCTTTCAAATTTCATTCAGAGGTTCTTTTTCTTAAGTTCCTCTTGGTCAGATGTACAGAGTGAGCACTCTTTATGGGGCTCTAGTCTAAATTTTGACAAAACTCTGCCCTGGCTATGGGCTTGTCCAATAACACTGTCCAAAGCACTTGCCCTGGGAGAGGGTGAACTCCTGTTGTGTCTTGTGGCTGTGGGATCTGGTTTTGTTCCTGTGCTATGGGTGAAGGGGCTGTCCAAAGCACAGGATGAATTGTTGAGGAGAAGGAAGAAAAATAAACTGATAGCTTGCTCCTAACCTTCCTCATGCCTTGCCTGTTGCTGAACTTTAGATCTTTCTTCTCCTTGCTAAAAGTGTTCATTGCTCTTTTCACGGCAAGTAGAAATGTGCAGAAGAAAAATTTGCACTCTTTTCTTGTGTCTTCCATGGTAAATTCCATTTCTGGATGTTGAAACACTCTGCTGTACCATCAAGGCTTCCTGGAAGACTTTAAACTCTGAGAGATGGGTCTGGATCCTGCATACACTTTACATAATTTCTTTTAAGCTGTTTTGCTTTTTCCTCCTCAATTTTAGGATGTGGTCTGTACTAACAATAGGTAGGTAGATTCAATATGCTGAAGAACCCAAGACTCTTATACTGAACTCACAAAGTGTTAGCATGATTTCCTGCAAAATACTGTCTGTTGTCTTGCATCCCCATCTGTGTTGCTTTGCTGGTCCTTTGATCCTGAGCAGTATCTACTTCAAAAGCTGAAGTCAAGACAATTTGAGGCTTTTGACTGTGGCCAGAGACACTTTCAGATGTGACTTTGTTTAAAGCACTGAGTCCATCTAGCTTGTGCTGAAGTAGAGGAAAGTTTAGCAAAATCAGCTAGAAGCAAACTGCCTATTTTTAACTTTTTCTAGTCTAACCCCTCAGGTCTGTTTGCTTTGATTCAAAGGCTTCAGAGGTGCTGGGAAAAAAAAAGAAAGATAGATCCTGTCTAGATTAGCCAAATTTTATACTCTTATTAATGTCTTTTATTGTGATAAGAGGGACCACATACCGTTATCACCCCAAAATTAAGCTCTTCCACCCATCCTAGGAAATAAGGAGAACTTGGACAGATGCCAGAAATTTAGATGCAAGAGCAGACACTACCTATGCTGAAATGAGCCAGGAGGCTTTTTGTTGTGGTTATGTTTTTTTCTTTTAAATTCTGAAAAACTCAGTCCATGCAAAGGTACTGAAAAGAGATCACAGTAGTAGCATACTTGACTTGCATGAAAGTTGTTTCTCCTGTTCCTGTAGGTACAGTACAAAATGCTGTAACTGGGGATGTTTAAACATTATGAAGCTACAAGCTAAAAAGAGTATTCAGTGTTACAAAGTGTGATCTGGATGTGAAGCCTAGTGAGGACTGGGGAAGGCATAATAATATGTTGGGTAAAGGGTGGGTTCTTTTTTGGCTTTGATTTTGTGTTGGTTATGCTTTCCTTGGTTTTTTGTTTATTGGGGATTTTTTTTCTTTTTAAATTAAGCAGCTTGGCATTGGAGACGGGAAGGAAAATAATTTCCCCTTCTGGTACCTCCACCTACAGACTGTGGCCTTGCATCTCACTAAAGGCGAATGATGCTGAGCTCTGTAGTTTTCAGATTTCTTAGCTACAAGTGTAGAATTTTTACATGAAAGAAGGGAGGTGAACTGTAGTAAAGGTTCAGCTCCCCTGGTTGGATGTGCAAAGTGGGGAAAATTAATCCAAATCTTAATAAAATCTGCCTAACTGCAAGAATGGGGAATGTCCATCAGTACCAGGTCTGCTGGTACTTTATCCCCACCTGCTCATCACCATCTTGTCTTTCATTTTATCTGAGCAATGTGGAAACTGTGCTGGTTCTGTCAGTCATTGATGGACATAATCTATTTTCAGTTCACAAAACAGTAATTTGGATGGTCTCTGATTTGCTTTCACTGTGGCTGCTGCTGAGCAAGCACCTTCTCTGGACACATAACTGTGCTGTTGTACTTTAGCAAGGTGAGTGAAAGAACCTTCAGAGATTCCCAAGGTTTCTTCTCTCTCTGAGTTTGTTAAGGATTTGGCACAGCTCACAAGAACCCTTTTGTCTCAGAGGCTGAGGGCATTAAAAATACACAAAGATCAGCTCATGTTTTTTGTTGCATTCTTTATCTCATTTAGTAGAACTTTGTTTTTTCATATAAGAATAATGGCACTGAGTTTGCCTAAGTTCCATCTAGCCCAGTATCATGTTTTGAAGTAGAGCATATCAGATCATCTTCTTTTGAGTTTCAGGACTGGGAAATTTAAGGTGAAGTCTTTTTTTTTGTACAAAGCTGAGCTAGAATTTCAATGTTTTTAAGTTCTTTTCAGTACAACAGACTCAGACTTTGACTGCTGATTCAGCTGCTCACTTGCCATGACTCAGTTTGCAAAAATAACACCCCAAAACTCTGAAGTTCATGCTCTGCAAGGCAAACTGGAGTTCAGCAATTGAAATAATTTAAAAATTTAAGTTCTTTCCAACAGCCTTGATTGGTGCTCCATAGTGTATTCTGGTTTGGGAGGTTGCTCATTTGTTGTCAGGCTGTAGACCTGTGATGCTGGTTTGGTTTTGAAAGAATGTTCCTATCCTTTCTTGTGAAGTTCTGTTTTTTCCTGTTACCTGTTTTAGTGTGTTCATGCAAATTGGTGAAACCCCCTGCTGATTACAAATGTCAAAACCTCAGTTAAATTGGGCAAACAAGTTAAAAAGAGTAGGGGTTTAATCTTCAAACTTCATGATTCAGGACAACCCCCCACTGGCTGAGAAATGTTTGGAAGAAATTGCTCAAAACCAAGGACTTGTGTTTAGAATAATCCATTATGAAGTTGTTTTCATCTTCTGTGGAAGGAGATTAAACTTTCTGGGCTGTGAGTAAATGAGAGTGCATGGTTCTTGATGTCTTGAGGCAAAGCAAGGAATCTAGCAAGTAATACACAGGTTTTTGTTTCTGTAATATTATCTAACTGAAGTACTTTTCATCTGCAGCCTGCCTTGTTTTACAAAGGAGGACAGACTTTTGATTTCTGTGTGGCAAATGCAAGACTCAGATTGACCAACATCCCTTGCAGAACTAAAGGTCAATCATCAACAGATTTTGTTCCTTTATTTTCAGGGAAAAGTATAGGACTAGGGTCCTACAGTCTGGTTTGGATATATTAACTCAGATTGAGAGGTACTGATATGGCTGGGTTACTTCTGCCTGGTTGGCATCTGCACCACCATGATAAGGAAGCCAGTGCAGGCAGTGGAGGGCATGTAGTAGGGCAGTGTTAATAAAACATGGGGTTTTTCTGAACATGACCATTATCTGCACAAATACAGCTGGTGCCAATTGCATTCTGCCCCCATCCACCACAGTCTGCCTGTGTGGGCCTCTCTGCATTTGCAGTCACAAAGGAGAAACAGACTTTCATTCGGATGTCACATCTGGCTGCCGAGTCTGTATGAGGTCTCACCTACCGGGTCCTCAGCTGCTGCTCTCATGCCATTCCCTGACCAGGCAGCTGAAGCTTTTGTTGTGAAGGATCTCACTGATTTTTTTTTTTTAAATTTCTGTTTTTTACTGTGTTTCATTTTGCTTTTGCAAAAGCAGTAACTTTTTCAAAACAGTAACAAAACAATCTTGTGGCCTCAGGTCTAGAAAACATGGCAGATTTTTTTAAATCTAAAATTAGCATTGATACTAGCTGCCTATTAGTTCCAATGTTGGGCGGTATCAGCCCTTCCAAAGCTATCTCTGTACAATTAGTTGACAATTATAGAGGGGTTTTTTTTACATTTCTCTAGGGACCTAGAAACCTCTGTGTACCCACTGAATTAAGCTGATATGATAATTAAAGAATTTGGCATGTGCTCTCCAAAAAATTCAGGTCTCATTCAGTTGTATCATATTATGACTGAGGTCTTCATTGTGAATTACCTTAGAGAAAAGGTAGGCTGTTTTTCTTCCCCCTTTTTTCTGACACTATTAATAGTTGCTCTGCCTCTGTGCAAACCCGTTCCTGGAATTAAAAAAAAAGCAACATGCAAATTAAAATTCAGCAGAACCTTGTGTATCTAGTACTAACCTTGCTTTCTCAGTCTCTGACGCAAATTGTAAATAGTTATCACTTAAGAATTGACCTTTCATAAATGCTAATATGATGATTGGTTGTTTAAATTTTATTCAGTCTCATGTTGATGGAGTCTATAAAATACTGTAGTCTTTTACACTATAGGCAGTAGATTTAAAAAAACACAGAAAAAATTTCCCATTTTTATTCAGTAGTCTTCAGCACTCATCACTTCACTGAAATTCTGCTTCTAATGCTGGCTTTTTTCCTAAGTTCTGGTACATTCATATGGATATGTGTAATAAGATACTTATTGAGCAGTGTGGTGCACTTATTCTATTTAATCTGTTTAAGTGTGTTAAATAAGACAAATCCTTGATTTTTTTTCTACAATTTTTGGTTACATGAGAACTTCTGAAATTATTTCCCCCATCAGAATAAAACTTTAATGAGAATTCAGAGCAGAATTTATAAAATACTTTGTTGCAGTAATGTTGACAAATAGGCTTGACTTACTCTAAAATAGTTTTAATGTGAAGATTATAAAAATGTGGAGGGAATTTTAGGTTAAAAGGTGTTTATCATTAGTCAACACACTTGCCATCAAAAATTTGCCCTTTCCATATTTTCTTCAAATCATAGAAGTGTTTGGGTTGGAAGGGACCTTTAAAGGTCATCAAGTCAAACTTGCCTGCAATGAGCAGGGACATCTTCATGAAGCTGCCCTGTCAAAAGGAAAACACTCTGTGGTGTTGTGACAAGACAGGCATCCCACTGTGTGACCTCTGCATGCAGAGAACGTGAGCTTAAGCCAGTGAGGAAGTGAATGGATTGACATGGGAATGGATTCCATGTGACTGTGGAGATGAGGTGATGGCATGTGAGGTTCATGCAAAAAGCCAGAGTAGCAGCAGTCAGGACCAACGTTCCCGTGGGAGATTTTGGATGTTCCCTAATATTGCTGAGGAAAGGAAGCGAGTAGTGACCTGCATTATGCAAGGATGGGCTGGTAAAGCAGAACTGAGGAGAAAACAGCCAGAATCTTTCTTTTTGTAAACCCTTCAGCCCCTTCTCTGTAGTACTGGGGAGTTTTAAGTGACACCTCAAACTATGGGTTTCACTGTGCTAGAAAGTATAAACAAGAATCTTGATAGCAAGGGCAGAGCTGTCCTCTGCAGCTTCTCAGTGCTGTTTGTCTTCAGGGCCTGCAGAAGATGCCATTGCTCCCTGCAATCAATGGGACATATTTCCTTTCTGTTCCTAGTGTTTGTGAATGAGCAAAAAGGGCATAAGCAACAGCAAAATCCATGCTTATATTCCTTCTATGCACTTTTTTGCAGCCTTTCCCACATACTTTGATAGCAGAAAAGGCAAGTCACTCACTCAGCCTGCAGTCATGGTCTTGCTTGGGCTCCAATTTCAGTTTACCAGTTATAAGCAAGTACAGAGATGTGTTGTGGTCTTTCCTCACTTTGATTAAGATGCTTTTAAGATGTGACTATGAGCCAGTACTGCTCTCTCTGTTTGTGAGTAATGGTGACAGGTTAAATGCTAGGGAGGGCCCCTCTCTTCCATTGCCCTGCCCAAACCACAATACTCCCATGGAGGTTCTTCAAGGGGTGCAAAGTTCCTGTGCAAAAGAAACAAATATGCTTTTCATGTAGGGATGTCCACCCATTGTTCCAATCACTCTCCCAGATACAAAAGTCTCTTCCTGAACTTGGCAGCTTGGACCTTCTTGTAAAATGCTGATTGCATGCCACAATCTCTTTTGAGAAGAAGGGTTCATTTAGTAATGTCAATCTTCATTCATTCTCTGTCTCACATGTTGCTAACATCACCAAGAATACTTTTTATGAGCGTTTTGTATCTATGGAAAAATACCTGATTCTTGCAGATCAGATTCTTGATTACTTGCCATTGTTGTTAAATGCAAACAAGCAAAAATCTTGGAATTTAAAAAATTCTTAGTGCCTTAGTAGTTTTATTTTGCAACACTTGAATTCACAAAGAGCTTGCATTATGCAGTTACAGAGATACTTATACTGAATGTGTTCTGTAACTTGTTTTGAAACAAGAAATTAAAACCCAGAGAAACTTCAACCCTTCAAACTTGACTTGAAAAATAAAAAATAAATTTAAAAAGTACAAAAATTAGAGGAGTGTGATCCATTTATCAATCATGTATTTGGTCTGCATTAACATGGAAGACTTGATTGGACTTGATTTTGTTGTTGATTTTTATCTGGAACAGATAAGAACTTCTTTGTTTTTGAGCTTCATTTCTGTGAAAAGTGTCTTTGACTCAGTGACTGTCCCCTAAAATGGGATTTTGTTAGTTTTGTGATGGGTGTTGCTGCTGGATGACTGTGAAAAAGAAAATCATCCTGGGAGCTTCTAACTTGGTGTCTCCTCAGTGGTAGGGCTCACTGCTTTAGGACTGATTTGTCCATGATTGCCATTGGCACTTGCTGTGTCACAGTAAGGTGATTGCAGATACAACCACCACTCCTTCTCCTTTGAATGGTCTTATCAGTTATACAAATGCTACAAATCTCACCACTATTGTATCATTTCCAGTCTCCTCCTTTCATGACTGGAGTAGCAAAGTTGAACTTTCAGTAGGCATTGCCTTAAGCACTATTTTAATGATGATTTTGATTTATATTATTAAATGGCCCTTGATTTCTAACTGTAAATCAAGTCAGATGGAGATGTTGGCATAAGAGACAGGATGTGATGAAACTGGTCTCAGGTTGTGTTAAGAGAGAGATGTTGGATAAAACTGCAAAGAATTAAGAGCTCTTGCAGGAAAATGTGTGATGTAGATCCCTGCTGGCAGTTTAGAAGCATCCTGGTTACAGAGGAGGACTGTGGTGCCTGTGGAATTGTGCTCCCCTTCAGAGCAGGTGTGCAGAGCTGGGACAGTGACAGGCACTGCTGGGACAGTGCTGGGACAGTGACAGGCAGTCACTGCTGGGACAGTGACAAGAAGTTGCAGTCGAGGAAGGAGAACTGCAATTCCTCACTGGCTGTCAGACTGAGAGGAGCAGATTGACAGGGAGCAGGCTGCTGGCCACAATGCTTCTTCTGCTCGATTAGAAAGGGTAAAGCTGTCCTCCAGAGTAAAAGTGTAATTCAGCTTTTTGTTTAGGGAGTGACTGTGGTGGCCTAAGCACGCTTTGAAAACCAATCAACTTGTTATCTTTTCATCAATCTAATAAGCTGATTTCCCCCTTTGTCTACCTTTCTGTGGCTGCTTAGCATAACTGAAGAGAGGATGCCTTCTGAGGAACCTTGATGTAAAAATGTGGCTTTAAGAATGAGTCAGCTTTGTTTCACTCAAATGTCTATCCATCGTCTTTCATGGTTCAGTGGGTTTGTACAAATATTCTTCATAGCTGGAAACTCTTGTTCAGCTAAAATAACACCTTTGTCAAATGACATTTTGAAAATCCCTACTTTATTTTTGTCTGTATTAATACTATTATCTTGTCCTTTCTCAACAGCAGATTTCAAAACCCTCTCTCAAAAGAGTAGTGGCATTGTCCACTGCAGCTTGGTGCATGTGGGAAGGGGGTTTGTTCAGGTGACAGAGGAAGCCACCCATGTTCAATGAGCTCCAGCCTCAGGACCTGGTTTCCTGAACCCATCAATTTAACATGAGCTCCTCTTTGCACCCAATGCAGCAAAGCTGCTCAGAGCTCAACTTTCAGCTCAGCTCAGCTCAGTTGCTCGTCCAGCACACACATTGAGCAGCTGTGAATATTACTGGGAGAGCTGGAAGAGGCTATTTGGCACAGAAGAGCCAGACAACATTCACCAGGGAGGAGTTCTGGCTGCACCAGGCCCCCTCTGCAGCAAGGGACATGTGCACAGGCCATGGGGTACAAAGCTGAGCAGTGACTGAGGCACATTTGAGTTTTGTGTGGGAGAAGGGCCCTGCATTTGCTCTGTTTGTGGCATTGCTGCATGGCTGCTGTGGGTGCACCCCATTAATTCCACAGCATCATCCCTCACCACTGAGTTTGCCCAGACCTGGACCAACCTGCCAGCCATTCTCTGGTACCACTCTTTGCCCTGGATGTCTCTCACATCACAGCTGTCAAGAGCCTTCAGCTTGCTTGTTCCTTGCTGACCCTCATTTTTGCCAGCCCAGCACAGGCAGCCTTTCCCTTAGTCTGGAAAGCAAGGGCCATTGTTGCTGACCAGAGGGATCACAGAGCAGGACAAAGGGAAAAGAAGCTGCAGTGGAAGCTGTCTGGCTTCCAGGGCAGTCTGTGCCCCAGACAAGTGCATAGCTCAGCAGTTCCCAGTGCCTCTGCTGCCAGCATCACCTGCTGTGAGGATGATGTGCCATGCTACCTTGGGATGTTATGATGGCTTCAGTGTCATCTGTGACAATTTGAAGCATCTCGCACTTTAAATTTGTCTTCCTTTTCAAAAAAGGTGATGGGTGGCATAACCCACTCTTTCTATCAGTTTTGCTAAGTGATTACATTTTGGATTCTAAGGTTTTGAGTATTAAGAATGTATAGCTTTTTTCTTGAATATAAAGGCTCTCTCTTACTATAAGTAATTTCTTCTACAGCTATTGTTATCTGCATTAATGCAGATCCTTGCTTGTCATTCTCAGCAAACTGCAAATGGTAGTGCATTCCCAAAGTTATGATGGATACATGTGTGTGTGAGATTTAAGTGCACTGCATTTTATTGTCAGTCTTGTATCATGACAGAGGTGGCATGGAGACGAGCTTTCACTTACATCTCTCATTTAGAGTCATGAGCACAATGGCACTACAATATTTTTACATTTCTTCTTCAGCCCTTTCCTGATACATTTTAATGCCTTGTTTGCTCTTTGCAGCCTTGGCTAAATGTTGAGCAGGCCCTTTATTACTGACAGTGTAAGAAAATAATTCATCTCTTACTATAAAATTCATCTTTTATAGTAAGAAATATGAATTGTTGTTTTCCAGCAAAAAGACACACCAGAAATATATTCTAATACATATTTTTCAACTCTTATTTTTTCTGCCACCACATTACTAATTTTTTGCCTATTTTAAAATCATTTTTGTGCCAAAATCTAAACACTGCTGTGTGAGTTTCCTTCCTGTTACAGATTGCTGATGAATTAATATCCTGTGAGCAGCTACTGGCTACACACTGATTGCATTGTGCTGTTATCAAATGCAAGGATTCTGTGTGTGGTTTCTAAGTTATGACATGCCCTTTGTACACAATCTCTGTTTTTACTTTCTTTTGTTTTGCCAGATACATCTCCAGTGAATGAAAATCAAGTTTTGGGGTTAAGTACTTTTGGAAGAAACGGCATTGATTTTAAAATATGTACTTTTAACCAAGATGCTTCAAATGTATTGATGCATGCTGGAAAATAAGTTTTTTTAAACACTTTTATTCAAAAATATTCAAAATATTTTCCATTTTCATTAAAATACAGACATGCTATTCTGAATTACAGTGATAAAGTAATTCAAAATTCCTATATATACACCTACATATAGGCATATATGTCAACCTGAAAGAAAATGCACCTACAATGAAAAGTAATGGCTTTGCTTTGAGTCTTTGTGCACGTAGAGAATATATTTTGTGCTTTTTCTTAACGACAGGAGATATATCATCCCCCCTGAAATGAAACACTTAAAAGTAGCAGGTACTGCTAATAGCTGCCTAAGAGTCACAGGTGAACAAGTCCTACACAGATCAACTGCAGAATAAAAAAGTGTGGTTACAATCATTCTTCTTGAGTACATTAATATGTATTCCAAGTGCGTGTGCTGATGACAAGGTGCCGTCTCACCTCTGCCCCTCCATGCAGGCCAATCTACTGATGCTGGTGACAAAGAAGGCACACAGTGCACTGCTTTGCACAGAGCTGAGCAGTGATTTGTAATCACAGCAGAGAAACCTTGCATGTCCATCCTCCATGTTCCACATTTGGGACACCTTCTGTCATAATACTGAGAAAATCTAGAGGCACAAATAAAGCTGAAGTAAGTAATTATCCGGCACTAGCTTATTGTTAAATGTGTCTACATTTGCTTAGCTTTTCAAAATTCCTGCTTTTCAAAGTTCCTGCTGTTTGTTGTCAGTTTGCTTGCTGCTGAGTTCAGTGGCTGGTCTGAAATGTTTTACAGAGCGTCTTGGTCTCCTGTAGACTGTGTGTGGAATGAACTGGTAGATTCAGTGTGGTAAGTGATGTGAACTCCACACCACTTGCAGAAATACCCTGGTAGCTGCCAGTTCTTAAAGAGCATCTTCAGGTACTTCTTGAATTTCTCCCCCATGAAGAAGTAGATGACTGGGTTGAGGCAGCAGTGAAAAAGGCCGAGGATTTCCGTTACCTGGAAAGCATAGTCCAGATTCCTGCTCACTTGACAGTCTTTAATGACTCCCATAAATTCCAGCAGTTGTAAGAAAATAACAATGTTGTAGGGGGTCCAAAAAAAGAAAAACACAATCATGACAACAAAAATCATCTTCACAGCCTTATTCTTTTTGTCATTTCTACAGTGAACTAATGTTTTAATGATCATGGAGTAGCAAAATGTCATAATTATAAAAGGGATTAGGAGCCCTAAAATGTTGACTTCCAAAGTGGAAAAAAGCTTCCATGTTGTGAAATTGCCTGTAAATCTCGGCTTGCAGGTAGTAAAATTATGTTCATTAAAAGACTCTCTAAATACAAGCTCGGGGACTGAGGCTGAAAGAGCTACTAGCCACACAACAAGGCTAGTAATAAAGCCATGGAAGGTGGTCCTTGCTTTCAAGGAAAGCACTGCACGAACAATTGCCAGGTATCTGTCTATGCTCATAAGCATAATAAAAAATATCCCACTGTAAAACCCAACCAGGTAGATCCACGAAATGATTTTACACCAGGGAGTCCCAAAAACCCATTGGTCTACTGTGAAATAAGACCAGAATGGCAAGGATAAAACGAAGAGCAAATCTGAGATGGCGAGGTTTAGCAGGTACACATCAGTCATGCTCCTCAGCCTCTTGTATTTGAAGAGGACCACGATGACCAGAATGTTTCCAGCGAGCCCGACCAGGAATACCAGGGAATACAGAACGGGGAGGAAGGAGGCTGCAAACCTCCTGACGCCTTCTTTACTGCACAGTTTTGGAGCATCGTAATAACTATCATAATAGTCATAAAAGGTTGAGGGTTCGACTTCAAGGGACTCTGTACTTGAAGAACTCATGTTTTTTCCCCCAGTTCTGAGAAGGGAAGAATATAAAAATGTCAGAATATAAAAATGTCAGTGGCTTTCAGTGCATCAAGACCACATGGTTACTCAACAAACCTGAATCAGAAGTGACAGCTCAGGACACGACTCACTGCAGGTTCTCAGACATTATGTAAGCATTATGGGATGGATGCATGTGCACATTTGAGCAAGGTATTGTCCTTAACATGCATGTGCTTTGTCCTTGCAGTGCTGTGCAACTTGCATGTCGAGCACAAAGGGATGTTCAAATGGATGACAGGAAAGCAAATAGGAGTGAAAGGTGTGGGCCACATCAGTGTCAAATCAGAGAGAGTTAAGTTCAATGTAGAGCAAAGTAAAAAGAAAACTCACTGTTCATAGCAGCTCAGAATTTCACTAACCCACTTTTCCCATCAGGTATATGTCACCCACCATAGGAAGACAGTGATAAACATTCATCAGACTTTTCTTATGAAATTACCTCTACTGAAAGTTGTCATGAGCTTTCAATAAGGGCTTATTTTCAGTGGCTAAATTATTAACAGGAATTTGTCATCTTGATATTTATGTTCTTTTCTAATAGGCAGATACAGAGTTGTAAGTGATGTAAGTTGGACACAGGGAAAATATCTTGCTGACTTACGAGTTTGTGTGTTATTCATATCACAGCATCATTTTTTTAGCTTAACATACCAGAAATTTAAGTCTGAGTTCTGTTCTTACTTGTGTGTGTTATTCACATCACAAGTGGCATTTTTTTAGCCTGTCATATCAGAACTCTAAGCCTATGTTATTTTCTTCCCCTTTGTCTTCATTTTATGAATGTAAAGCAGAAGAGAAGTGAGTTTCTTAGATTTACTTCTCTTAGTCCTGTGTGTTGCTGCTATGTACCAGCAAACATTGATAATCATTAATCTGAGACCTACTGTGTGTGTTCCCAAGCATGACACCTTTCCAGCCTACAGTTCCATTCCATTCTACACAGAGAGGATTTACAAGTCACAAGGACAGAACTGTTTGACACCAGTGGTGTAGAAAAGACAGCTTTACAGCAACTGCACCCAGACATACCTGAATTTAGTCTAGGTTCAGCATAATACATTTGAATACTTAAAAATATGTGCTCACAGACTACAACCACGTCTGATGATGCAAGAATTCTTAAAACTGCTTTAAAAAATTACCTGAGCAGCTATAAAAGGTAAATGAAAAAGTATTACATTCACACATATCATGAGTGTACATGATATGAAAATGTTTGAGCAATTGCATTTCATGAATTTTACCTTTTCTCCTCCTTTCCTCTCAGATGAGCTGAAGAATCTTCTTTGCTCTCAGGGTGCAGAGTCTCTTGCTTTTCTTCAGGTAGCTCTGCCAGTGAGGTGCTACCCACACAGCAGTGTTCTCCAGATGTAAAAAGCAGATATCACTAGGTAGCTGTGTCTCTTAGCGGAAGCTTCCACTTCCTTAGACTTGTATCACAAGTACTTCTCTCCTGTGCTCATCAGAGACAGTCTCTTTAAGTCAGAAACAGAATTAAACACATAATGTTTAAAAAAGCCCACAGTTTCCACTGGGAGACTGATTACTGAATTAAAGCATTTTCATTTCATCCAACAATCATTAAAACTGATGTCACTAAGCACAGATGTCACTCAACTCTCATTCAACTGAAACCTTGTTCTTTTCTTAATCTCAGAAAAAAAAAATCAAAGAATCCTCTGTAGAGAGCAGAGAGGAGGCAGGCACTTGGTGGGTGTGTGGGAAGTGTGTTTCTAGTCCTCTGACAGATAACTAATTTTGCAAGTTGCATTATGTAATTGTAGAAGAGAAAAGCTGTATAGATAGTGTAGGGAAGGTTCCTTCTAATCACTATTGCTTATCACTAACTCCTACTTACCATACTAAAAATAGAAATGAAGACAGGTTAATTCACACTACCTTTTTTCTTGATGTCTTCTGTTGCAGATTTTATGTACAGCAAATCTACCTTCTACTATTGCCCAGGACAAAATGTAACAGTGGTCAGAATACTGAATAATAAGTAGGATGTGCTCACGTGTGTGTGGTCTAAGGCAGAGTGTGCACAGTGCTGAGGTTTACCGAGGCTTTCTGTCACAGTAGGAAGCTCAGCAGCTTCTATGAATCTCTCTTGAGAGTGAGATGGGCCTTATTTGTCTTTTGAAGGATCGTGAGAAGGGAGAAGAGAGCACAGAGGACATATGGAAGCCAAGAGGGATGGTTGTGAGTCCTGCCAAGAGAACAGCTGTGCTGGCAGCTGGCAGGTGCCGGTCTCCTCTGTTTCCCAGAAAAGGCCAGCCAAGAAAAGGTACAAGCCATTTCTCAATAGGGGAAACTGAAAATATGCAATGAGAAGCAGACACAAGAAATCTACAGAAGATGGTAGTGAGAGTAGTAAGAATCAGACATCTCTGTCCACAAGAGATTATGTTTTCTTGTTTGGTCTCTGGTGTTATTCCAGACACAGGTGCAGCTTTTGTTCATTTACACCATTTGCTGCTATCTCATATGCCTCTGACACTGTTACACTGCCCAATAACTGATGTTTGACTGAAGAGCTTGATGTGAATGTAATGCGAAAAGCCTGAAGCAAGAGATGCAGGATTTACTGGTCTCAGGTTTTGCCAGAATCAAACTGTGTGGGAAGGACCTTGTCAGTCATCTTTCACAAGCTGGATCTGTAGATTTTAAAATTGGTCTCTGGGAGATATTCCTCCTGTACTGGTTATTGCTCTGCAGATCACTTACATTTTCTCTTCAGTTTAGTAGAAGTCCTTAAAGGATGTGGACATCAGATAAGCTGACAACACTGTGTTGTACCCATTTCATCAGGTCTGCTCGCAGAAACCAGAACTGTTCGTCTTGCTGTTCTTTTGTCTCTCTAAGGGCCACCTTAATCTGTTCTTTGACATGTTGTTGCACTAGAGCCACAAGCTCAGCTCTTCAGCCACAATAACTATAACAGAAAATCTTTCTATGAGTGCATGCTTTTCAGGAAAGAAAACATCTCTTGCTCTTTACAATGCTCTCTTAGGCACTGATGATTCTTAGTTCTGGCTGTAAATTTTTTCTCCTCAATAAGCCACCAAGCATCTGCATGTTTATCTTGTCCCACTCATTATTTTCAGCTCTGTCAAACTAGATATCTTCTTTGAATTTCATCTGTGATGATTTTTCTTGATTTCCAGATGAAGAAGTGAATAGAACTGAATCCAGATATTAAATCTCTTTGACTCTGTAGGAACCCTGCTTGGTTAAGGAATGATTTCCCATCAGCAACAACATTTTGTGAGAGGTGTTGACCATCATCCATCACCAGTCTTTCGAGACCTATCCTTAGCACACAGGCTGCACTTCAGACGTGCTTCTGATCTTTCAGGTATTCTGTCAGCAGGGAAAAAGTCTGCAGCCATGTGAATTCCAGTTTAGAATGATCCATATGGCACTAGTTTGAAGAAAGCACCTACCTGGCACAGTGCCTTTTGCCCAGTCCTTCTTTGGAAGGCTTTTGAGTAGCAAATGCACCTGCCATAATATCAACTCACTTCATGCTAAATTGCCAGATGGGAAGAGCTGTCTTTTTAAGGAAATTGAGCAAGAATGTTTCTGCAGAAAGAGGAATGCTCAGGCACAAAAAAGAGAAAAACAGTGCAGTTACAGATGCTGAAAACCTATGATGTGTGAACTCCAGAAAACGAAGATTAAAACATTTATCTGCCAGTTCGTGAAAATCAAGAGGATGTGAATGAATTCTGGATTACCTTCTGACGGCTTACCAATGAACAGAGTCCCTGGGAGAGCCTGCATGGAAAACTGGAGAGAAAACAGGAAAAAACAACCAAAAGAAATCTCTGAGCAAATGAGAAAATGCAGAAAATAGAGGAAAGGTGTTGTGAGTGCTGGTCCTGCAATTGATTGGAGAGAAAAGAGTGGAAGGGGCTGAGCATAACTGCAGTCTCCAGTGGGGGAGCTCTGAAGTTCCCTTGTAACACATGGCAGCCTGTCTTTTTCAGATGCTTCTTGGAGAACCTGGCAGAGACTAAGAAAAGGAGACTGGCAGGAGATGGCAAGATTACAGGGGAAGGGGAAAGCATTCTCAGTGATGCTGCTGTAAAACTCAAGGTTTTGCAGAGGAAGAGAAGAAGAGAAGAAGTCATTTCACCTCTTTACTAAATGGCATCAGGATATGTGACAGCAGCCAGATAAATCACAGGGTGGACCAAACCTGATTGGCCTGACTGGAAGGAGATTAACCTTTTATATGGGATGGTGTCTGTGTGGGAGCACATTAGCTGCAACAGGAAGGAACTTAATTAAAAAAGCAAAGCGTGGAACAACCCATACCATAAAAAAACTTTGCTTTCCACCAAAAGATTATTTCAGCCCCTCCCATCTTTTATGGGAAATCTTATCATTAATTTGCCATTTTACAGGAGGCATAGGAGTTTTGTTCAAGGAAGAAATGGAGATAGACATTTGGCTAACCCACTAAGTAGATACTTACCACTGATATGCCAGTGCACCATCCATTCTGTCTGATCTCAGTGCTGGCCAGGGACAGATTATTCAGACAAGTCGTCATTTGGAAGAGGCTGGCCCATAAGAGAAGCAGATGACAGTAAATAAAAGGGACAACTATTGCAAGAATTAGTATTATGACTGATTATGTGGATTGGTGCAGGACCCAGGCTGCCAAAGTCACAGATGGGCAAACATTTACCTTTCTCATCAAACCATTCTCTCCATCAAGTAGCCAGCTCCTTTGTGTGTTGTCTGGCCTTGTGGGGTTCTTCTTTTGCAATTCAGGTGAATTTGAATAACTTTTTGCACATCTGTAGCTCCCATTCTTCCTTGTTAGCAAAGTGTTTGCACTACCAGTTCATTGTACAGTTCCTTTCCTTGTAATTTCTTAATGTATTCCAAATTTCCTGTAGCAAAAAAGAGCAATCTGACAGAGAAGGTTCCTTAAAAAAGGAAGTGAATAATTTCCTACTTTTAGAGACATCCACCAGTGTTGTTTCTCAGGTGATTCACTCACAATTTATTTCAATCTTCTTGAATGCATGCATTCCCTTTGGCTAAGATAGCTGTTTGTGCTGACAAGGAAATTATTTAACCCAAAAACATCTTTTCCTTGTTCAGTGCTAAGCTGCAATTCCCTTCATTTTTTTTTCTTTCAGTGGACCAGTCCTGTGCATTCTACTGTTTCTTTCCACTGGTGATTCTGTGAATAGTGTCAGTCATCCTTTTCCTCAGCCTCCATTGCTTTCTTTCTACATGCTGTGCTTGCAAAGCTGCTACAGACAGAACTCCTGATTTAAAAAAAAAGAACTGAAACTTCTTACCTCAAACATGACAGAAATAGTCATTTTGTATGCTGAATTTTGCTTAAAATAAAAATCACTGATGCAAAAAACATCAAGGGACACTTTTAGGGGTGATGAGTTTATTCTTCTTAAATGTGAAATGGCACAGCAGGGAGCTTTTTTGTCATGTTCAGTGATCTCTTAAATGTCACCAAGCAGTTTCTACAGGTAGTTAAGAAGTCTGTGCTGTTTCCACTCTGAGGAGTAGCTGATACCCGAGATTGAATTTTTTTTTTTCTAAATGTCTCAGCCATCACCTAATCATCACTATGAGGTCCTCTTAAAGGCTGGTCTTTCTGAAAAAAAAAATAAAATTAAAAAGGCAGTGGCGAAAGCAGAAGTGTTCTCAGGCCACTTTTGTGGTGAGTTTAGATACAGAGGAAGGATGGCAGTGTGGTGTAAAGGCTTTGTGTTCTGTGTGCTTTGTGTTGGTGCCCCCAAGTCACAAACACTTCCGTTGCTGGTAGCCTTTAAAAGCTTATTAAATGACTGGCCTTATCCTGAACATCTGCATCTTAAATTCTCTCCTGCCTTGTTCCTTCCATGGCAGATGTAATATAAAGGAGGCTAGTTAAAAGAATTAAGGTATATGCAGAGGATCAAGAGAAAGTAAGAACTAATACTTATCTTAATGATTGCTAACCTTTCCATGTTTGCCAAGGCCCAGGCACTGTGTTATCCCATGGAAAAGCTGTCTCATTGCAAGGCATGTTCAAGACAATCTGTATAGCCAACTTATACAATATTCAGCTCACTTGTAGTAGCAGGGGAAACCACTCAGGACAGCAAAATAAAAATGTGACAGGCACAACAAAAGGTTTTCATTGGAGCATCTCTGTCATCTTTGTGACTCACAGGATATTCTGATGTGCTTTGTGAATTGTTGGTGAAACTGCCTGTAGTTAATTTTATATCCACAGACTTTCATTTCCTTGCAAGCAAATAAACAAAACCTTGGAGAAATTGATGTTTCTTCCATCAGCACAATGTAATGACTAATTTTTTCTTACTTTTCATAAACATATTTTTTACACTCTGTACTTGCTCATCAGTGACTCCACTTGCTTGACTGGGGTGCCCTGCCTTAGCCATGAACAACTTTCAGGTCTAACAGAGTTTAATAATGCCACCTTCTGGGGCAAATGCAAAGAAAGCACTGACACTCAAGATGGGCACAAGGAATGATGGAATGAACTCAGTCAGGGCTGTGTGAGCTAGGGTGATTACAGGGATAGTGAAAGGGTGTGGTGACTCTGGAAATATTTGGCTCCAGGTGCTGTTAGCCTTGTGCAAAAAGACATATGCCACTGTCTACAGCTGCACCTTCTGAATCTGACTTGAACTGTAAACCCTGGCCTGGGCATTCTGTGTTGCTTCTATTGTAACTTGAATTTTGTCCATTCCTTCACCATAGCTTTCTGAAACCTGAACTACCAGGAGGATCTGGAGAGCAAGGCTCAGCAATGGGACCAGGAAAAAGGAACTGAACAAGAGACAAAGTGAGGGCGAGCCTTAATGATTCAAATGAGGGCTCTCTTGGGGAAAAAAAAACAAAATCAAAACAAAGCAAACCACAAACAAACCCCAAAAACCAAAAGCAAAAAACAGACCAAAACACAATGCAAAATAAAAAACACAAGAAAAAAACCAAACAATCAAAAAAGGAAATAGAAAAAGCATATCACAGTATGAGGATACCTATTTTCTAACACAGGAGTCCAAGGGGGAGGGGGACTACAATAAAGCAGAGACTCACTACAGAGGTGCACTGAAGCCACTTAGGGGTTATGACCTGGTAAATTTTAGTAAACTCTAACACTGCCATTTCCAAAATAGGCAAACCCAGCTTTGAGCCTTCTCAGACACAATCCTTCCAGGGCAAAGAAGATGTGAAGTGAAGGTCTTTCATCTGTACCAGGAGACCTAGGTTGATTTTTTCAGGAAAGGAAACGGTATCTTGTGACACAAAAAAGAAAGGCTTACAAACACTCTGGAAAGGAGATAGAATCAAATGAAATGCAATTGAAAAAACCCACCAAAAAGCAGAAAATCGGGAGATGTGCTGCCTTCAAGATATGGTCTCTGAGGAAATGAGCTGCAGTGCAAATGACCAAACCAGGCCAAAACTAACCTCAGAGATGTTGCAAAAGCAGGGGAAAAAGTCAAGGAGGAAGACACAACTTGGAGGGGAAGATATGAGGGACATTGCATGGGTACTGTAAAAGAAAAGAAAAAAAAAAAAGCAAAATCTTCGGTGAAGGGAAAGCTATGAAAAAGCATGGCATACCATCAAGTGCAGGGACATGCACCAAAGCTTGCCCAAATTGATCCCCACTGAAGGCCAAAACAGAAAAGAAAGATTTAGGAACCCTCTGGAATGGAGATACCACCAAGTGAAATAAAATTGAAGGAAAAAAAAAGAAATTTGGGAAATTTAGTGACTACAAGAAAATAGACAGGGATTACATCAGGTGCAATGCAAAGAACCAAAAGAGGCCAAAACTAACCTCACAGAGTTTGCAAAAGCAGGGGAAAAATCAAGGAGGAAGACAAAACTCGGAGGGGAAGATATGAGGGACA